AGAGTTTGGAGGCTAGGGGTCTTTGAGATTTGCAAAGGCCCTGGGCTGAGCCCCTGGAGGTACAGGGTCCTCCTTAAGGGAGGGGGAAACAGTAAGCACTCCCACAAAATCGGAGGTTTCAGATAAGACAAGCGGGCCAAGCCAAGCAAGGGTGGAGTGAAAACTGCTGTCCCTGCTGCTCTCACGTTTCCTGCAAGAAATCCCGGGGGGAGAAGAGGCTCCTGGCTTGGTTCGTGAGTCACCGTCTTCCTGAGCCAAGGGAGCTGGGGAGCAGATTCCAGGAAATCACGCAGGAGTCCTGGGGAGAGTTGTCAGTGAGAGTGTGGCGCTGCCAGGCTGCTGGGCCCTCCTGGGAACCAAAGGAGAAAAATCCCAGGAGAAGGACAGGGGCGCGAGGCCGCTGTGGCTTCCTGGACCACCAGGGCAGGTGCTGTGGCTGGAGCATCCCCGCCGACGTTCACATTGAGATTGAGCCCCGTTGCGGGGCATTAAGGGGGTGGAGACTGAATCCTACTTTGATTTGGGAGGTAAGGAAGGTTAACCAAGGCACAGGGTAGGGCCCGACTCCAGAGCGGCGACCGTGGCTTGGGGAGGAGGTAAGACCTGCGCCATCAGGAGGCACCTCAACAGAGGCAGCCTTCGGATCCTGAACCGCCCAGCCCTCCCAACCACCATCCAAATGAGCCTTTATTCTCCATCAGTCCCTCAGTCCGTGGTATTCCGGGATAACAAGAGGAAACAGATGAGGGCATTGTTGCCATCCGGAGAAGAGCAGGCTACAGGAGAGCGAGAGCGAGTGCAGGGCTATTTGGAGAGCAGCTCTGGGCTCAGAGGCACAGGAGGCCGCACGGATCCTCCTGGCTCTCCTGTTTGGGCCTTAGCAAGGGGCTGGGGTGGAGGCGGGGCAGTGCCAGGCAGCCTGTTTGGTGTTTTGTATGGATTTGTGGAGCCGTTCAAGCTCATCAGTAAGCCAGCCGGGCGCTCTCGGCGCAGACAGAGAGGGCACAGCAGGCGCGAAGGCCCAGAGGCGGGAGTCCCAGGGGCTTCGGTGGAAAGGGCAGTGAGGCCCCGGCAGTGCTGGCTGCTCCTCAGAGGTCAGTCTGATGGGACAGGAGGAGTCCTGGACACCCAGGCTTGCGGGGGAGGTCCCACCTCAGCACATTCTCTTCCGTGTGACGTGGAGATAATTAACCCGGGGACCCTAACAGCTGCCACCACCACCCTCCAGGAATGCGGGCCCTCCCTGCATGCCGCTGACACTCCCGCTGGGCAGCCTTGTGGGAGAAGAACATCTCATTAAGTCCTGTCACCCGAGGTGCGGACCCGGGATCACCTGCGTCCCTGGCTTCCTGGGCCAGCCCTGACTCTCAGCGCCCTGGGCTCTCGGGAACCTGGGCTGATGGCTGCTTCCCCCCTAGGACAGGAGCCTGCAAACTCCCTCCTGATCAAGGTCCCCAGGCTGCTCAAGGATCCTGACTCAGCTCACAATGACAACTGAGGGGACAAAGGAGCCCCCGAAGGGAAGGTAAGAGTTTTGGGTCCCATCCCAGCCTGGACACAAGTTCCCTGCGGTGCTTCCCTGGAAGTGGCCTTGCTCTCGCTGGAACCCAGTAATTTTTGAGATCTGGGACCTCTGAGCCTGGGAATTGGAGACAGAATTGGACATGGCCTTGGAGTGGACAGCCCTGAGCGGGAGCAGGTGGCTCCTTCAGAATGGGGGGCAGAGAGGGGCAGGGCTAGGGGGAAGCACAGGGCGTGGTGAGAGCAAGGGAAAGGTTCCAGACCCAGCCTGGGACCGGGGAGCTGAGACCTAAAGGATGAGCAAGAGTTAGCTGGTGATGGAAGAGGAAAACACCCTCAGACGCAGGTCCAGGAGGCAGGGGAAGGCTGGGTGTGCTAAAGACGCACAAGAAAGGCAGCCTGGCTGGAGCTAGTGCCTGAGGGGGAGGAAGCAGCCCGAGATAAGGGGCAGGGAGGAAGTGACAGGGACAGGGTGCTACACACACAGGCCACCCAGCTGCCCTGTGCAGAGGGGGCCAGGCAGAGTGAAAGCAAGGACGCTAGGAGGCCGGGCCGTGTGCAGGTGGTGGCCCCACAGAGGACAGGGCAGGGGAGGAGGGGCTCACTTGGTGGCTGATGGGGGGGTCAGGGAAAAGGAGGACCAAGGAGGGAGAGGACAGGAGATGAGGTTAATGCTACACAGTGAGTTTGGGGTGCCTTGGGGTTATGCTAAGGTGCGGGGAGTGGAGGGAGAGGCAGGGGTGGGTAGGTGGGCTGAGACTCTAGGCATTGCTGTGGGGACAGACAAGGCCCTAGAGAGGAGTACTAAGGGTGGGGGGAGAGGGCCTAGCCCGCACCCTGGAGCTCCCCAAAGCCCCTGCACCATCAGAAGATGAAGAGGTATGGCAGAAGGAGCAGGTAGAAATCCAAAAGGAGAAAGAAAGCCACAAGCAAAAGGGAGCCTCAAAGGAGGATGAGGACCGGCTGGGAAGTGCAGCGGTAGGGAGCTCTGGACCCGCGAAGAGGCCCTGGGGTGTGGAGGTTTTTATGGTGGTGGAGGGATTCCCAAGTCCATGATGTGCGACCAGGTGTGCCCGTGAGCCGGCCGCCCACCACCCAGGACTGAGCAGGCTGCGTTCTGCACACCAGTAGTGCCTGGTGCAGTTGGCCGTGTTTTGTGGTCTTAACTGCAGTGCGAACATCTCCCACACGGTGGCGCCAAAGGCCAACTCTGTGCTTACCCGGCTTGGATGGGGCAGAGCAGGGGTCAGTTTGGGAATACTCAGCCCGGGGTCACCATAGGATGGGAGGGACCGATTGCCAGAAGGCCGGTGGCCGGGACCCTCCCCACCCAGATGCCCTCCCAGCCCCCGTCGCAACAGTTCTCTTAGCGGTAGGAACTCGCAGGAATAAACTACACGCCCCACACTGCAGCCCTTGGCGGCGGCCCGGCCGGAGAAGGTCCCGGGGGAGCAGCTCATCCCATGATCAGGAGCGGCAAGGACGTCCCTCCCACTTGTCCCTTAGGAGAAAGGAGCCAGGAAGGAAGGAAGGACGCCCGCCCAGCCCGCGGGACACTCGGTCACCCCACCCCTTGCCCACGCCAGCCCAGCACGGCCCGGCTCACCGCTCCCCCTGGAGGCCGAAGCTGGACCAGCGCGGGCAATCGCGGAGACCCAGCCCGCGCTCCGGGCGGTGTCCCCAGGGAAAGCCACCCAGGAGCCCAGCAACACGTGCTGGGTCGGTCTGGAGACGCCCCGGTAGGGCACGGCCACGCTGCGTTTGAGAATGATTCCAAGTTCATGGAAAACTACCTTTGGTATAAGTAAGAGCAAAGAAAAGAAAACCGAGGCAAATGACAGTGCCCAGAGAGGACCTGAAAGCCTCCCTCTTCCCAGGCTGTTCTGGAACTTTCTCCACTGCACCGTGTGTAATGTGTTGGGCTCCTTTCCATATTTACAGAGAACCCTCACTCTCCACCCTGACGGGACCCCAGCCACCTCTCAGACCCTCCTCCTTTCCTCCCTCCAGCCCATGACTCAAACACAGTAAGTCCATCCCCACCTCCTAGCCACCACCCTTGCTGCTCTCTCTGCCTAGAACACTCTTCCTTGGGATGGACACGTCCATTCCCTTCTTGTCACTCAGAACTCAGCTCTAGTGTCACTGCCTCCAAGAGGCCTTCCCTGATTACTTGCCCAATTACCCTTAACATCCTGGTTTGCTTTCTTCACAATTCTTTATTTATTTTTTTAAAATTTCTTTGAAAGACAGAGTTACAGAGAGAGAGGGAGATGGAAAAAGAGAGAGAGAGATCTTCCATCTGTTAGTTCACTCCCCAAATGGCCACAACAGCCAGGGCTGGGCCAGATTGAAACCAGGACCCAGGAACTTCTTCTGGGTCTCCCATGTGGGTGCAGGAGCCCAAGCACTTGGACCATATTCCACTGCTTTTCCAGGCACATTAGCAGGAAGCTGGCTTGGAAGTGGCACAGCTAGGACTTGAATCAGCGTCCATATGAGATGCCAGCATTGCAGGTAGCAGCTTAACCCACTACACCACAACGCCGGCCCCCATAATTCTTTCATGTCTCTGAAATCATCTTATTTATATATTAGCTACTGTCTGTCTCCTTTGGCTGGTGTCTAAACTCCTCAGTTGTGGGAACCTTGCCTATCTGATCTGTCACTGTGTCCCCACTATCCAGAATCATGCCAGGCACATAGCAAGTGCACAATCCATGCCTGCTGTCCACTTCCAGTGGCCACAGAGCATCTCAGGGCACATGTGAACCACCTCCAGCCCTCTGTCACCCACTGGTGGGCTGGGTGTTCCCTTTAACCCTGATTGGACGAGCCAGCAATCAACATCTGTAGGCACCCATCTTTTCCTGCCTGAACAACTGGTTCGTTGGAATACATCTTTTAAATTAGTGATTTATTCATTTGAAAGGCAGAGAGACAGAGATCTGCCATCTGCTGCTTCACGCCCCTAAATGCTCGAGCTGGGCCAGGCAGAAGCCGGGAGCCTAGAACTCAGTCCGGCTCTCTCACGCGGGCAGCAGAGACTGGAGCCTCTGAGCCATCGCCTGGTTATTTCCAGGGTGCACACGGGTAGGAAGCCGGAGTCAGAGTGCGGCTGGGATTTGAGCCCAGGCACTCTGACAGGGTGCGCAGGCACCCAAGCGGCGTCCTCACCACTCTGCCCGCCCCTCGGGTAAATCTCTCAAAAGGCAAGATGAAGGGGAGGTTCGCTCTTGACACCCGAGACATCCTGGAAACAACTGCTCTTAACATGAGACCCAACTCCCAGTCTCTGGGGAACGTGTGCTCTCACATCGTATTCACCATCGTCAATCTCAGAGGCCAACAAAAAGGTCTTATTGTCCCTTACGTTTGCTTTGTGTCACCATAAAGGAGACGGCGAATTGCAGTGCTAACGGGGGGGGGGGGGGGGGCAGTGAAAACATCAGAAGGAACAAGCGGCTTCTTCTTCTACTTCTTCTTTTTTAAGATTTTATTTTATTTATTTGAAAAGCACAGTTTCAGAGAGGAGAGAGAGAGAGAGAGAGAGGTCTTCCATCCACTAGTTCAATCCCAAGATGGCTGCAATGGCCAGAGCTGTGCCGATACGAAGCCAGGAGCCAGGAGCTTCTTCTGGGTCTCCCACGTGGGTGCAGGGGCCCGAACATTTGGGCCATCTTCTACTGTTTTCCCAGGCCATAGCAGAGAGCTGGGTGAGAAGTAGAGCAGCCGGAATTCGAACCAGTACCCATATGGGATGCCGGCACTGTAGGCGGCAGCTTTATCGGCTTCGCCACAGCGCTGGTCCCGTTGCTGTTGTTTTTCCCCTTTCCCTTCTAAACAATGTCTCCAGCCCAGACCCCTCTTTCCCCTACAAAGGCGTCCACCTGCCTCCCTGTACCTCTTCCTGGATTGTCCCCAGACCTTTTAGATGCTATCTGCCCAAACTGACTACGCCACCTTTCCCTGGCCCTGACCCTCCAGGCCTCCCCAGCTCACTGAAAAACACCACCATCCCCCCATGACCCAGCCCCAGAGCCCCCGCACCATCTGGGCGCCTCCCTTTCTCCAGACCCCATGTCTTATTGGCCACTAAGCCCTGCACATCTCCAACTGTCTCCTTCTCTCTGTCACCACTGCCCTCAACCGGCCCAGGCCCCCACCAGCTCACCTGGAAATGGGGCAGCCTCTTGCTGCCTCCTGCCCATAACACACCCACCCAGTGCCTCAGTGACCCTTGCAAGGTAGGACTATGACCACAAATGGCCATTTGGGGTGTGTGTGTGAACCAACGGAAAGGAAGACCTTTCTCTCTGTCTCTCTGTCTCTCTCTGTCTAAATCTGCCTGTCAAAAAAAAAAAAAAAAAAAAAAAAGATTTATTTACTTATCCAAAAGGCAGAGTTGGTGGGAGGAGAGAATATCTTCCTCTGCTGGTTCACTCCCCAGTGGCTCAGGACTGGACCATGCTACAGTCAGGAGCCAGGAACTCTACGCAGGTGGCAGGGGTGGAAGGACTTGGGCCATCTTCCCCTGGTTTCCCAGGTGCATTAGCAGGGAGAAGGATCAGAAGTGGAGCAGCCAGGACTCAAACCAGCACCCATATGGGATGCCAGCGTCGAAAGCAGCAGCTCAACCCGCTGTGCCACAGCGCCAGAAGGGCAGGTTTCTGTTCCGACTTCTCACAGAAAGCTGTGGGGGGAGGTGCAGACCAGAGCTAAAACCTCCCCACCCCGTGTGTGTGTGTGTGGGGGGAGGGGGTGCTGCAGGGTCCTGCACGTGTGGCCCCAGGTTTTCTGCGTTCTGGGACTGAACTGTGCTACTCTGGAAACAGAACCTGCAGCGCCATGGGTGAGGATGGCAGTTCACCACATCTCCCTCCACACTCCGCCTCTGCCCCCAGTGGGAGGGACTTTCCGCAGGCTGGAGTCCGGCCCCCTAGAACATGCACTAGAGGTCAGAAGGCCCAGGACCCAAGCCTAGTGCCGGGCACAGGATGTGCTCAGGGAATGAGACCTGCCTCAGAGCCAAACCGACCGTGACTCAGGGAGCCATGATGGAGCTCGGCCCCTTCCCTTCTCCCATGACGTGGAAAGTTCCTGCCTCCCCTGAGCCCCAGGACAGGGGACCGTCAGCTGTGTCCTTCCCTGCCCAGCTCATGGGCTGTTAGGCAGAGGCCTCGGAGGCTCCAGCCACCATGGTCCTCAGGCACTGCCCTTCCCTCGTGGCCCCTGGGCAGGGGAGACAGCCAGGTGGGTCCTCAGGTGTAGTCGGTCCTGGTGCTCACAGGCCTAGACAATAGTCAGGGCTGGGGGCTTTAAGGGGGGGGGCAGAGGACGCAGGTCTCCTGGATGAGGGGACGTTGAGCTGTTGTCCAGGTGGATAAGGGGAGGTCAATAGCAGGCAGGTGGGCTGAGAGGGCAGGCAGAGGCCAGAGGCGGGACCACGTCCAGGGAGCCGCAGCAGAAGGCAGGACAGCACCGGCCCCCAAATAGGTGGGGAATAATAGTAGCGAGGCCAGACAAGATGACAGCAGAGACCCGGCTATGAGCTGCGACAATGGAGACAGGACAGAGACGGGACAGCGTGGCTGGGGGACCATGAAAGGGAAGGGAACAGCCCCTTCGAAGTGGGACTTTTCTGGAAGTGGGATCCCGGCATCCCAGACAGAGACACTTCCTCAGAGCGCGCCTCGAGGAGCCCTGCATAACGGGACAGGGACAAGTTCTGCCACCGCCACCCCAGAGGCTGGCACACCTCCCTGCCCAGAGTACCCAGGAGGCACTGGGAGGGGGCGGGGGTGGGGAAGGAGATGCTCTCAGGAGGTGGAATCAGGAGGCGGGGAGGGTAGGAGAAAGGAGAATCCCAAGAGCTCCTGCGGTTATGGGTCATTCACTTGTTCATTCAACAGATATTTCTCGAACCCCCACTGTCAGCCAGGGCAGTGGGCACAACGACCTCTGTGGTTGCTGCCCCTACATGGCTCAGAGACCCACAGGCAGGCTAAGTTAGGCACCCCAGCACCCACGGGCAGGCACGCTGCCTGGCCCCGGTGAGACTGCCAGGGGGACCAACCTGAAGCTGGCAGGGGGTCAGATGGGCAGGCCGTCCCCGGAGATGCTCAGGGGTGGTGCTGGGGGTGGGCAGGGGCTGCCTGGTGCCGGTTCTGAGAGCCCCGGAGAGGCCCAGCCTCTGGAGGACACGTGGAGGGACAGGGGTGCTTTGCAGGGCTGAGCACGAAGGACGGAGAGGACGTCCGGGGATGGCCACGAAGACTGCTGGGTCACCAGGAGAGGGCATCTGGGGCTCTGGGCACAGAACAGACTGGGGAGGTCGGCCGTGGATGGATGGGCGCCCTGGGACTGGACGACATTTTAGGGCCAGAGAAACAAAGGAAAACCCAGCCCCTGGGAGCAGAGGCCACGTTTTAGCACCGCAAAAGGGGGGCACAGAGGAGGCTGGAGGGCAGAGGACTGGGAGCGATTGTGGGGGATATCTCTGGTAAGGGCTAGGGAGGAAGAGGATGTCAGTGCCCCCAGGCCCTTCGGACCCCAGGACTGCTGGCCCAGCTGCAGGGTGCAGGGCCTGGAGACGCCTGAAGCAGGGCACGCGCCAGAGAGGGCAGAGGTGTCTGACTGATAGGGGTGTGGGAGTGGAGCTGCCCCTTTGTCCCCAGTGTGGGTCAACTCTCAGCTCCACCTTAACCCAATCCTAGGAGGGCCTGCGCTCCAGCCTTGACTTTGGGGAGGCTGGGGCTCTGCTTCCCTCCCTAACACCAGTCTCAAGACAGTGGGGACCCAGACCCTGGCAGAGTCCCATCCATGCCCCAGGAGCAAAGCCTGAGGTTTCCTGAAACCGGTACCCAATGAGTAGTGGTACATGGTCTGGCCCAACAGTGGCAGAAGACGCAACCTGCGCCTACAGTGGGGAAACTGAGGCAGGGGAAGAGGCAGAGCTGCTCTGAACCCACGAAGTGTGGGATGGTGGGGTTGCTGGCCTCCCTGCTGCCTTCCCTCCAACCAGCCCACCCCAGGAGTGGCGGCTCCCAGGGTCTATGGCAGGTGTTGTCTGGGATCTCAGAAGGGCACGAGGGCGCCCCAGTGTGCCCCCTCCCGCCGTCTTAAGAGTCTGTGTGGTGCTCCCACAACGCGATCCTTTCCCCCAGGACACCCTCGCGTCCCCAGGGTCCCCATTCTTTGCGAGCCCGTGGACTCCGCGGCCACGCGCGGGCGCCGTTACCCACAGAGGGCGGAGTGAGCCACGGGCGCCTCCAGGGGTGCGGGCGCCGCGGGAGCCCAGGGGGTGGGGCTCAGCGGGCCAGGGGAGGGGCGCGCGGCAGGCGGCGGGGCGGAGGGAGGGGCAGGCGCCGGCGGCGGCGACAGCGGCAGCTGCGGCGCGACCAGGCCGGGCAGCGAGAGCGCACAGACAGCGCGAGGTCCTCGCAACCCAGCGCAGCCATGTGAGTGTCCGCGGGGTTGCCGGGGGCCGGGGGCGGGCACTGCAGTGCCGGTGTCCCCCCTGCCGGGGCCGCCCCAGGAGTCCCGGATCTGCAGCCCCGGCCGCGGCCCTGTCCCGCCTCCCACCATCCCCGGGACCCCGGCCGCGCGGTGTCTTTCCTCCCCTCCCCCCGGGCGCGGAGGGCGCAGCTTCGCCCCACAAAAGACGCCTCCAGGCCTGCCGCGCCCGGCGCTGCCTCCTTCCCTCCCACGGCAAGGCCCTGGCGGCCGGTGCCCCGGGGCTCCGGGGTGGGCCAGGCCGGAGGGCGGGCCCAGGGCGCCAGCCTGGGCCCTGGCACGGGCGCACCCCGGGAGCTCCCGCTGCCTTTGCTAAGGAGGAGGCTGAGCTGGAGATGGGAAGGGGGGCGACAAAGGGTACAGGCTGGCTTCGGAGATGAGCTAATCTTGCTGGCCGCACGGGCCGCCCTAAGCCGATTTGGGGCCGGGCGGGAGGTGACCGAGCCTGGCCTGGGGCCGTGCTGTCCTCAAACCTGGTGTAGTGGAAGCTGGAGAGTGTAGCCCTGGTGCAGTGGGGAACTTACCCAGTCCCTGAAAATAGGACTGGCCCGGCGTGGGGGTGGGGGTCTCCGCAGGCAGCCAGGCCTGAGCGCCCTGCAGAACTGGTTTGGGGAAGGGGCTGCTTTGCTCACCCAGGCGAGAGGTCGGGCCCAGACTCGGCACTGTGGCACTGGCTCTCCTCTGGTCCTGGGCAGGCCGGAGTCCCACCTCCAGCACTGACCCTTCCCAGCCGGTTCCAATGGATGTCCCGGCTGGTGGACCAGCGCCTACTGTGTGCTGTCTAGTGTAGCAATAACCGTGCCCTGCTCGCCGTCCGTGGGGCCGCGCCGGGCCTGCAGCATTAGGCCCAGTGTCAGCCTGAGGACGGTAATGACTGGCAGATGCAGAACAGTCCAGAGACGTTATTCACAGCCTCAAGGTCACACAGCTGGTTTGCGGAGAAGTGGGAATTACATCTGAATCTTCATTCCTGCACCCTTCGCCTCCGTGGTATGGGAGGGTGGGAACTGGGGATTGGGGTACAAAGTATCCCAGCGGACGCCGAGGGCCTGTAGCCCCCTCTGCCGCCCTCCTCCCTGCCCTGGGCACTGTGGGCAGCAGCTGGAGAGAGGCGACGGGAGAGCAGTCCAAGGAACCTGGGCTTGGTGGGGGGAGGGGAGCACGCAGGACTCCCGGCTGGCCGGCGGGTCCTGCCCAGGTGGAAAAGCAGCAGGGGAGGGCGCGGGTGAGTCACAGCGGGCCCGCTCTGCTGCTCCGCTCCGCCGCCTCCGGGGCTGGCGCCCTGGCCAGGCCCTGCCCGGGGGAGGCCGCCGGGATCCCAGCGCGCGACCGGACAGGGAATGTGACCAGCTGACCAGGGAGGAGGCCGGCAGGAAGTGAGGCCACCCGGCCGCCTCCGCCCGGTTCCGGGGTCGGGAGGGGGGGTGGTCCTAGTCCCCGCCGCCGCCCCCCATCCCCGCTCACCCCCTCCTCTCTTGGGCAGCTGCGGGATGATGTCAGCAGCTGGGTTTGGGGCAGTTGCCATGGAGGCAGGGGCAGGCCCAGGAGGGACCCCCGTCTTCCTCGGCCGGGTTATTTTTAGCGTGTTTACCTCGGTTGGGGGCCGCCCTGCGGAGGGGCGGGGCTGGACGCGGGACTCCGGGAGAGGCGCTGGCCTGGCTTGCCCTGAGCTGGACAGGGCAAGTGGCACGACCTGGGATCTGGGGGCTGTGCGGACGGGTCTGGGTTCCTTTCCCTGGCCGCCCTCCCCCAGCTGTGCCGCAAGCCCCCAGATCTGTGGGACCTGGGTTTTTCCTCCTGTTCTTGTTTTTCTCCTGTTCCATATGGTGGCTGGCGAGGCGGCCCCCTCCGCCTGAGCTCCAGGGATTCAACTCCTTCCTCCCACCTCTGCCCAGCGGGGATCTTGCCCACCCACCCACCCTCTGAGAAGGCCATTCTGGTGGTCACTTATGGGGCTGGGGGAGTGAGTACCAAGAGTTACACATACCGGTTCCACTGGGACTAGGCAGCTGGTGGCAGCAGAGCCCCGGTGGGAAAAAGAAAATTGATGTGACAGTCTCCCGGGTCCAGAATTCCAGGAGACTCCGTGCCCCACCCCAGCCTGGGGGAGCAGAGCCCAGCTTGCTACGGTACAAGGGAGAGAACCGTAAGTGGGTAGGGGAGCTGGAGTGGACAAACGTGAAATGTAGTCAGGATTTGCTGTGGCTGTGTTGAGATGACCCAGCCCCCGCCCCGCCCCCCACCGCTCCCTCCTTCCACCATCTTCCTGGTGGAGGGCCCAGAAAGCTCAACAGTGAGCCCAGCAGACAGGCCCCTGCCCCCACAGGGCTCTGTCTGGTGGGAAGACAGGCCCTAAAGGAGAACTGACAACTGAGTTTTGTGGCCTCAGGGATCAGAGAGAGGAAGCTGTGGAGGCACCAAAAAGGAGGAACCAACCCAGGCAGGCTTCCTGGTGGAAGAAGTCAGAGGGTAAGGCTTGAAGAGAGATGGGGAGTTGGTTGAGAGTCATGGGAACAGGATACGGGAGCAATGGGGCCTGCTGCCCAGACGCTGAAAAACCAGTCCAAGGAGAGGGTTGTAGTCAGGGCGGAGAGAGCCAGAGGAGAGCAGGGGGAGAGCGGAAGGCTCGCTGCAGGTCCTGGAGTCTGGGAATGACCCTTGGGGCAGAGCCTGGCCTTGGATGTGTCACAAGAGACTGACTAGCGGATGTTCAAGATCCAGAGTCCCTGGGTCAGCAGGCCTGAGTGTGAATCCTGACCCTGCCACTTATCAGCTGTGCAATCTCAGGCAGATTAATAATTGTTCCTGAGAGCAGTTAATGTTTGTTGTGTGCTAGCAGCGCAGTTATGTGTGTCCACCCCAACCTCCCTGCCCCACATAAAATTCGCCCTTCCCCCAACATCCTCCCTGTGGTCTGTGAAATAGTCGTTGTGATTATCTTCACTTTACTGACAGGCACCTGAAGCCCCAGAAGCTTTTTTTGACAGGCAGAGTGGACAGTGAGACAGAGACAGAAAGGTCTTCCTTTTGCCGTTGGTTCACCCTCCAATGGCCGCTGCGGCTGGCACGCTGCAGCCGGCGCACCGCGCTGATCCGATGGCAGGAGCCAGGTGCTTCTCCTGGTCTCCCATGGGGTGCAGGACCCAAGTACTTGGGCCACCCTCTACTGCACTCCCTGGCCACAGCAGAGAGCTGGCCTGGAAGAGGGGCAACCAGGACAGAATCTGGTGCCCCGACCGGGACTAGAACCCCGTGTGCCGGCGCCGCAAGGCGGAGGATTAGCCTAGTGAGCCGCAGCGCCGGCCGGCCTTAAGTTTTAAGTCATGCAGCCAGCGAGCCTCAGGTTTCTCGTGTGTGGGGTGGAGCTAATAGGACCTATGCTATAGGGTAGGGGTAGAGAAACTTTTATCTGCCAAGGGCCATTGGATTTTTATAATATCCTTTATGGATCATACAAAATAATCAACTTGAAAATTAGCCTGCTACAGAATCTATTCAAGACCTGCCTGCAGTCACTGTGGCAGAGCCAGACTAAATGGCTTTGCAGGCCTTACGCGGCCCGTGGGCTAGCTGTTCCCCACCCCCGCCCTGTAGGGTTGCTGCCACGTTAAGTGAGATGAAGTTTGCGAAGCACAGGGAGCACTCAGTAAGAACAGTGTCTGGCATTGTGAGCTGACTGCGATTGGAGCCGCGTTGTTAGGGAACACAGCATGCTGGGCGCAGGTTAGAGTGGGGACGGGGAGCACATTCGGAGGCCGCTGCAGAGGCTGAGGGCAGAGTCGGTGGCAGCTTGCACCTGAATTCTAGCTGTGGGCGTGAGGGTGCTAGTTAAGAGCTAGACCTGGCAGGAGTGGGTGGCAGAGTGGATGTGGGGGTGACTGGCTGGGACTCTGAGGATGTCTCCCCGTTTCTGGGTGCACAGATGGTGGAGTTGTGAGGAGAGGTTCAGGCTGGGAGAGTCAGGTTTCAGGAGGGAAGTGGTGACTCAGTCTGGGGGCCTTGCACTCAGCACACCCCCTAATCGCCTGCTGTGCGCTGTCACTCCGCTCCTGGGAGGCTTCCGCAGGCAGTTGGTGCTCAGAGGAGCGGTTTGGGTGAGGGGGAGATAAGAAGGCTGGCAACGTGTGGATGGCATTCAGCTGTGCGAGACATGCACAGCCCAAGGGCGGGGGGCTGGGGCCCATTTAGGGAGGGGGAGACAGGTAAGGCCTCTGTGGGAAAGGAAGGTGTGCGGCCAGAGGTAGGTGGGAACCCAGGATCGCGCTGCCTCTTGAAATTCAAAGGAAGGGAAGGTTTGAGGAAGAGGAAGGGAGCCACCAAGTCAGAAGCTGTACTGAGATCAAGCAGGGTAAGGACTGACACCGCGCACGGGGCTCAGCAGCCGGGAGGGCACTGCTGGCCTGGTGCAGACAAGGCGGGGGCGTGGTGAGAGGAGAAGGCAGAGCAGGATGGGAAGAGGAGGGAGCGGGTATGGTGAAGAGACGGAGATAGACATCTCTTCAAGAAAACTTGGTGTTGCAAGCAGGCATTAGGCGTAGCACCTAAGACACCACTTGGGACACCAGCATCCCATATTGGAGCGCCTGGGTTTAGGTCCCAGCTGCCTGCTCCTGATTCCAGCCTCCTGCTAAAGTGCACCTGGGAGGGAGAAGGTGATGGCTCACGTACTTGGGTCCCTGCCACCCATGTAGGAGACCCAAACTGTGATTCGCAGCTCCGGGTTTTGATCTCGTTCAGCCTCGGCTATGGCGGGCATTTGGGGAGTAGTCAACCAATGGATGGGAGATCACAATCTGTCTCTCTGCCTTTCACATAAATAAATTAAAATTATTAAAATTAAAATTAAAAAAAACTTGGCTTTGAATGGAGAAGAGCGAGGTCAGGTGAAGAGAGGAGAGCTGGAGAGAGACAGAGCCCACAGGGGGGAGTAATTTTATAGTTATTAATTTAAAGCCAAGTCTAAATTGAAATATACATGGAGTGTGTATGTGCTATGTGTGCAGCTTAGTGCATTTTCAAGGGAACAGACCTATGTAGGATCAGGAAATCAAACATTGCCAGACCCTGGAAGGAGCACAGTCCTTTGTGTGCCCTGCTAGTCACAACATCCCAAGGGTAACTGCTTGTCTGATGTCTATCACCGTAGATTAGTTTTGCCTGTTTTTAAACTTCATTAGCAAGGGACCCATACATACAAGGGGACTTCTAAAAGTTCATGGAAAAATGATGGGGCTGGCACTGTGGCATAAAGCAGTGCCAACATCCCATATGGGCACTGGTTTGAGCCCCTGCTGCTCCACTTCTGAGCCAGCTCCCTGCTAATTGCCTGGGAAAGCAGCAGAGGATGGCCCAAGTCCTTGGGCAGCCGCAGCCACATAGGAGACCCGGACGAAGCTCCTGGCTCCTGGCTTCGGCCTGGTCCAGCCTTGGCTGTTGCAGCCATTTGGGGGTGAACCAGTGGATGGAAGCTCGCGCTCTCTCTCTCTTTCTCTCTCTCTCTGCCTCAGCCCTCTCTGTAAGTATGACTTTCAAATAAATAAATAAATCTTAAAAAAAGTTCATGGAAAAAATGAAATGAAAAGACAAGTTTATTTTGGTGTAAGAATTTTTTGTTTTGTAAAATAATTATTTAATTTATTTGGAAGAGTTAAAGAAAGACATAGAGAAAAAGAGAGAGACAGACAAACAGACAGATCTTCCATGCCTGGTCCATTCCACAAATGGCTGCAATGACCAGGGCTGGGCCAGGCTGAAGCCAGGAGCCAGGAGCTTCTTCCAAGTCTCCCTCATGGGTGGCAGGGACGTAAAGGACTTGGGCCATCTTCTGCTGCTTTCCCAGGCACATTAGCAGAGGGCTGGATGGTAAGTGGAACAGCCAAGACTTGAACTGGAGCCCATATGGGATGTTGGCACTGTGGGTGGCGGCTTAACCTGCTGCGCCACAGCACCTGCCCCTGGTATAAGAAATTTTGAAAGTATAGTTTTTTCTTTCTTTCTTTCTTTCTTTCTTTCTTTCTTTCTTTCTTTCTTTCTTTCTTTCTTTCTTTCTTTTCTTTCTTTCTTTCTTTCTTTCTTTCTTTCTTTCTTTCTTTCTTTCTTTCTTTCTTTCTTTCTTTCTTTCTTTTTAAACATTATTTAAAAGGCAGAGTAACAAAGAGGCAGAGACAGAGAGAAAGAGAGAGATCTTCCATCTGCTTGTTCACTCCCCAAATGGCTGCAGTAGGCAGAGCTGGACTGATCTGAAGTCAGGAGCTTCTTCCTGGTTTCCATGTGGGTGCAGGGGCCCAGGGACTTGGACCATCTTCCACTGCTTTCCCAGAGAGCTGGATCGGAAGTGGAGCAGTTGGGACTTGAAGCCTCACTTTTTTTTTCTTTTTAAAAAAAAGATTTTTTTTTTTATTTGAAACTCAGAGTTACAGAGAGAGGAGAGACAGAGAGAGAGAGGTCTTCCATCTGCTGGTTCACTCCCCAATTGGCCACAACGGCTGGAGCTGCCTCAATCCGAAGCCAGGAGCCAGGAGCTTCTTCCGGGTCTTCCACGTGGGTGCAGGGGCCTAAGGCCTTGGGCCATCTTCCACTGCCTTCCCAGGCCATAGCAGAGCTGGATAGGAAGTGGAGCAGCCGAACCGGCACCCACATGGGATGCCGGCGCTTCTGGCCAGACGTTAACCTGCTGCGCCACAGCGCCAGCCCCTCCACCACATTTTTAAAATAATATACATTTTCATGAACTTTTTGAACATCCCTTGTTATGTGTAGATTTCAAATAATGTTTTTAGTTTTTTTAAAGTTATTTAATTTCATCTACTTGGAAGACAGAGATACTGTGAGAGTGAACTTCCATCCACTGTTCACTTCTCAAATGCCTGCAACAGCCAGGGCTGGACCAGGCCAAAGCCAGGAGCCAAGAGCTCTATCCAGGTCTCCCATATGCATCATCTGACACCTCCCAGGCACATTAGCAGGAAGCTGGTTAGGAAGCAGAGTAGCCACGACTGGAATTAGCACTCCAGTACGGGATGTGGGCACCCCAGGAGGCAGCTTAACCGTTATGCCACAATGCCTGCCTCTCCAAAAAAGATATTTTTGGCTCCAAAATAAACATTTTAATTCAATTTCCTTTTAAAAAATATTTTATTTATTTGAGAGAGTTACAGAGAGAGAGATCGATCTATCTCCTAACCACTGGTTTATTCCCCAAATGGCCAAAATGGCCAGGACTGGGCCAGGCCAAAGCCAGGAACTTTATCCAGGTCTCCCAAGTGGGTATAGGGGCCCAAAGATTTGGGCCATCTTCTGCTGCTTCCCTAGGCCGTTAGCTGGGAGCTGGGTGGAAAGTGGAGCAGCCGGGACTTGAACTGGTGCCCATTTGGCATGCATGGCAGGCAGTGGCTTAACTGGCTACACCACAGTTTTCTATAGACGTTTTTGAGGTGCTCGAATGTCCTCTAGCGAACGTTATCTCTGTATAATATGCATTCATATCGTCGCATAGAGTTGTATATTCCTCTCTGCCATGTAGCAATCCCACTATTCATTGGTAACCATTTGCATAGTTTCCGAGGTTGTTTTCAGTTGTTGTATGGGAGAGGCTTGTTTGAGACCCATGGAGAAAGTCTGAAATCCCCATCGTCTATGAGAAAGGGGAGATGGCTAGGACTGTACAGGGTTTAATGGGTGGGAGGAGGGAGCCTGACTGAGCTCTGTGGTTCCACGGGGGCTGCCAGCCTGTGTGCAGGTGCAGAGAGGACAGGGAGCCGGCTTGCCCCCGGGCTGGTTCTGCCAGGTGGGAGAGAGGCTGAGATTACCAGCAGCAGGCAAGTACGAGGATAGCAGCTGTGCATCCGGGCTGGCGAGGAGGCAGTGCAGGGAAGGTAGGGACGAGGAGGTAGGAGGGAGCTGGCAGACAGAACGAAAGCAGAGGCGGACTGAGCTCTGTGCAGGGGGGCATCTGTAAAATTCCGGGCTGCATCTCCAGTTCCTTGCATGTGCCTTGCACAGCGTTGTCGTTCAGTGACTAGTTGAGCACATGAAGGATCCGAGGGACCAGAGGCCTCAGGTAAAAGGCAAGTGAGATGGAGGCGATGGAGAAAGCCTGAGATTTGTCAGTGTGGCTGTGATTTCGGAAAAGGGCATTCCCGAGGCAGATGATAAGGCCCAGGGTTGAAGGGAAGAGAGGCCAGTGTGGGGTGGGCCAGCCCTGGAGTACAGAGGTTGCCCATGGCGGGGTATTTGTTACCCAGACTGCAAGGAGACAGTCGAGAGAGAACAGCTTTTCTCACACTAGTCCTTGGTCCTCTTGCTTCTGACTCTGTGTGCTGGGGGAGGGGGTCCGTGGCTTTGTTGGAAACGCAGACCCCTTGCTTGCCCTGGGCTTGGGGCGAATGTAGCCATGCAGCAACAGCAGTGAGCCTCAGGAGGCAGGATGTTGATGGGATCCAGCAGCGTGCAACCCCTTGACGTCAGGGGGTGGGATGCCTGGTGGACCTGGACATGGTTGCCTGTACCCAGGCTGGAGGTGGACAAGGGCTGCACAAGGAAGAGATACCCTGGGTGGGGAAGAGCTGGCGCCAAGGGAGCTCAGCACTGAGGGGCCGTGTGAGGCCAGGGGGAGGAGCCTCAGCCCTAAGAAGCCTCTTTGGCTGGGCAGTGGGGCAGTCCTGGGATTGAGCACCTGCAGGTGTTAAGGGTAGGAGTGGCACATGTGTCTGTGGGACTGTGGGCACCCAGGTCCTTCTCTGCACTCCTCTTGGAGCAGCCACAGACTTCAGCCTCCTCCTCTCTGCTCCCAGAGTCCCCGTGCCCAGTGGCCTGCTCTTCTACCCCCTTTAGCATAGTCTCTCCACTTTGGCACCCCCAGCCCTTCCTTCCACTCTCTCAGCTCCCACCTGCCATGCCTCGCACCCTTCCAGCTCTTCCCTCAGCGACCCTCAGCAGCCACTCTGAGCCCCTACTCTCACGGTCCCCATACTGCCTGCACTCTGCCCCTTCCTCCCACCCTCCCTACTCATTGCCTGCCCTTTACACGCAATACTGACCCCAGCCGAGAAGACCCCCATTAGTTCTCTCCCCGAGGGGAACCCTCAGGCACCCCTCCAGCCGGCCAGTTGAGCCAAGGCCTGGTGCCCCCCTAGTCCAGCGGGTCCCGCCCCATCCCGGCCGGCTGAGTCAGGCGGCAGGAACTGGGCGGGGGGAGGCGCCGAGAGTAGCCGAAGCGGAGCCAGAGCCGCTGGGAGCGAGCACGGAGCCCATCTGGGCCGGCGGGGTCGTGGGGGGCGAGCGCGGGGCAGGGGCCGTCCCAGACCTACCATGAACTCCAAGAAGAAAGGTAGGACCTGGCTCGGGGCTGCGCGGGCTCCGGAACTGGCCCCAGGGCGGGTGCAGGACGGAATCTGGGAGCCAGAGGTTCGTGCTTCGCCGGAGAAGGGTGGGGGGTGCCTGCCGAGGATCCCTTCCAGCCAAGGGCAGGGGTGAAGGCGTGCGTCTGTGACTCAGTTTCCAGGCTGGAACCACAGGAAAGCGAAGGGGGCGGGGCATTTTTCGACACTGCCCCCCTACTCTGGGAATCCCCCCGGCCGCCGGGCCGGCAAGGGAAGGGGCCTCCTTGGCCGTTCCCTAGGGCCTGGGAGAGCCCGGCCAGAGGAAAAGCCAGCTTCTTCGCCCGGGCCAAGGCCTGTTCGGGACAAGCCTCCGGGCAAGGGACCTTAGAAGCCGTGCAACCCTGGCCCCCGGCCCCCTGTGACCCTTCCCGCCGGGCCTCCCCGGGGGTGGGGGGGCACCCCGAAGCTTCCCTGGTGGCCCCCGGGGTTGGGGTGGCCGGGGGCAGGGCTGGGGAGCCGCCCCGCCCTCGGGTAAATAGGCGCTTCCGCACATTCTTTGCGCGCCCCGCCCCTTTCCTGCCCCTTCCCAGCTGGAGAGAAGGGTCCCGGAAGCGCCGCGGCCCCCCCTTTCCTGGCCCCCCGGCCAGGCCGGGAGCCCCGCAACCTCGGCAAGGAAGTGGGGGGCCCGAACCGAGGCCCACGCCCGGAGTTCCCAGGCCCGAAGTCCGCCCCCCGGCAGCCCTGTCATTAGCCCTGGGGGCTGGAGTCCTGATGCCGGAGCCCACTGGGGCAGCTGTCCCTGGTGACCGAGGACTTGCTGCAGCCCTGGGACCGCGCCGCGGGGAGGGGGCCCCCGGGGGCTCGACTGGTGCTGGACACCTCCCCCCCACGCCGCCCCCAGGGAGCCCCGCGCGGACTCATTCCATGATGTCCCTGTCGGTGCGGCCGCAGCGCCGCCTGCTCAGCGCCCGGGTCAGTAGGAGCCAGTCCTTCGCCGGCGTCCTCGGCAGCCACGAACGGGGGCCCAGGTACGCGGCGGTGGAGGGGTTAAGAGGGTCACGTGAGGTGGGTGGGTCGGTCGGTAGTGGGGTGTAGTGAGCTTTGGGGGACTCCCGCTCGCCCCTTCCTGAGGGCAGCCTCTTGTTCAGGAGCTTCCAGGTCTTCAGCCCTCCGGGGCCCCCCCGGAAGCCCCCCGCGCTCTCTCGCGTGTCCAGGATGTTTTCTGTGGCTCACCCAGCTCCCAAGGTGCCGCAGCCCGAGCGGCTGGACCTGGTGTACGCGGCACTTAAGAGGGGCCTCACGTAAGCAGCTGCCTCTCACCCGCTGCCCCATCCCTCCCCAGCCCCACCCCTCTCCTGTCTGCCGGAGAGAGGTGAGTTCACTCCTGCCGGCACCCCTTTCCCCAGGGCCTACTTAGAAGTGCACCAGCAGGAGCAGGAGAAACTCCAGGGGCAGATAAGGGAGTCCAAGAGGAATTCGCGCCTGGTGAGTGACTGCACTTCAGGATGCTCCGTGCCCAGGGAGGGTCAGGTGAATCAGGGGTAGAAAAGGGGCTGTAAGGGAGGGCTGGGGGCAGCCCTGTCCCCAGCTTCTTCCCTGTGCACTTTCTGCTTGGAATCCAGTGCCTGCTTCAGGAACATCAAGAGGGGTAGATTGGACGGCACAGACAGGAGTACCAGTTGTAGTAGTTGGACTGAGGAGAGAGCTGGAGGAAGCAGCTTTTCTGCTGGCTGAATGGGGGAGTCCCTAGCGGAGGGAATCGTGTGCCAGGAGGCACAGAGCTGTCTCCCTCCCGGGCTGCAGAGAAGAGGGAGAGGTGGGACAGGGCTGCCAGCACTCCCCAGGGTGAGGCATGCAGGAAGGGGGTCAGTCCCTTCTGGGGAGACAAGAGCCCTCGCTGGAGTCCTCCCAGTCGCTCCTAAGTATCCCTTCTCACCTCCCCCTGCAGGGCTTCCTGTATGACTTGGACAAGGTGAGTGTACAGAATGGCATCAGAAGGGGTTGGCTCATGGGGAGGGGAAAAGGCCCCGGCCTCAGGCCCCTCCTGACACACCTCTCCCCCAGCAAGTCAAGTCCATCGAACGCTTCCTGCGGCGACTGGAGTTCCACGCCAGCAAGGTACATGTGCAGTGTGCCTGCAGAGTGGGGGGGGGCTCGCCAGGCTGGGGTTAGTGGTGGGTCTCAGTCCCCCACCGCCACTCTACCTACCCTCCCAGATTGACGAGCTCTATGAGGCGTACTGCGTCCAGCGGCGCCTCCGGGATGGTGCCTACAACATGGTCCGTGCCTACAGCACTGGGTCCCCGGGCAGCCGAGAGGCTCGGGACAGTCTGGCAGAGGCCTCCCGGGGCCATCGTGAGTACACAGAGGTGAGGGATGGGTGCCCGTGAGGCAGAAGCCCAGGGTGGGCAGGGCTGGTGAGAGGGGACTGGTTCCGGACCCCTCCTGTTTCCGCCCCTCCCTTTCAGAGCATGTGTGTGCTGGAGGGCGAGTTGGAGGCACAGCTGGGCGAGTTTCATCTCCGGATGAAAGGTACTGAGCCGAGGGGGTGCCGGGTGGGGAGGAGGGAGTGCGTTCAGGACCCACCAGCACAGCTCATCCACTTTCCCCTACTCCCAGGGCTCGCTGGCTTCGCCAGGCTGTGTGTGGGCGACCAGTACGAGGTATGAGGATGTGAAGGGAAGGGCTGGGGTGCCAGGGTCACGACACCAAGGGCTGCCTCATCACACTTGTTCCTCTAGATCTGCATGAAATACGGGCGTCAGCGCTGGAAACTCCGGGGCCGCATAGAGGGCAGTGGAAAGCAGGTGTGGGACAGCGAGGAAACCGTCTTTCTTCCTCTGCTCACGGAATTCCTGTCCATCAAGGTGATGTCTCTGCCCAGGTCCACAGGCCCCCCATGACCTTGAGAACTGTCTGTGACCCCTTCGTTGCTCCATGACCCTATGACTGTGTGACCTGAGGACCTTCATGACCTTGTGATTTCCTCACGACCTCCTGACCCTGTGACCTCCTCAATATCTTCTCACCCTCTGAATATTTGATCCCCAGAGTTCCTATGAGGCCATGACCTCTATGATGACCCCACCAGCTAGGACATCCGTGATCCCCATGCTCCCAGCTTGCTTGCTTCAGGCCCCCATGGCGCCATGACCCTGAGACTGTGATCCTGTGACCATTTCATAACCTCAGAATGCTCAGTCTCATGGCCTCCTATCTTCTGACCCCACTGTGCACTCTTGGCTGCAGGTGACAGAACTGAAGGGCCTGGCCAATCACGTGGTTGTAGGCAGCGTCTCCTGCGAGACCAAGGACCTGTTTGCTGCCCTGCCCCAGGTTGTGGCTGTGGACATCAATGACCTTGGCACCATCAAGCTCAGCCTGGAAGTCACATGGAGGTTGGTGGGGCTTCAGGGTTTCGGGGCAGGGCCTGGGGGGGGCTATGGCACCTGCTGATAGCCCCTTCCCTCCCCAGCCCCTTCGACAAGGATGACCAGCCCTCGGCTGCTTCTACTGTCAATAAGGCCTCCACAGTCACCAAGCGCTTCTCTACCTATAGCCAGAGCCCACCAGATACTCCCTCACTTCGGGAGCAGGCCTTCTATGTGAGTCACAGCCCTGACCCAGGCCTTCCCTCTCCCAGGGATGCTTGAGGGTGGCCCTAAAACGTCCTCTGCTTTCTCCCAGAACATGCTCCGGAGGCAGGAAGAGCTGGAGAATGGGACAGCATGGTCCCTGTCATCTGAATCCTCGGACGACTCATCCAGCCCCCAGCTCTCAGGCACTGCCCGCCACTCATCAGCCCCCAGGCCCCTGGTGCAGCAGCCCGAGCCCTTACCCATCCAGGTTGCCTTCCGAAGGCCTGAGACCCCCAGCTCTGGGCCCGTGGATGAGGAGAGAGCCATGGCCCCAGCTCTGGCCAATGGGCATGCCCCCTACAGCCGGACTCTGAGCCACATCAGTGAGGCCAGTGTGGACGCTGCCTTGGCTGAGGTTTCAGTAGAGGTTGTGGGGCCAGAAAGCCCAGCCCAGGGACCGAGCCTGCCTGTACACCGAGATCCCATCTGTGAGGAGCACCCCAGCCCTCCTCTTCCTGCCCCAGACCCCGGCCATTCTGCCACAAGCCCCACCCTCAGTGCTACAGGCCCTGCCTCCACACCTGCAGACGCTGCCCCATCTGCACACCTGGACTCAGTTTCCAAAGCCACAGACTCCAGCCCTTCTGACTTGCCAGGCCCTATCTGTGTCACTACAAGCTCCACCTCTAGTGCTGTAAGCCCTTCCCACAGTGCTGCAGGCCACACTCTCACTACTACAGGCTCCACCACTACAGGCCCTAGCCTGAATACTGCAAGCCCCACTCACAGTACTGTAAGCCCCGCCCATACCACTGCAAGCTCCACCTACACTACCACAAGCCCCACCCAGAACACCACTGTGTTAACTCTCACCACTGCGAATCCTAACCCCAACACTACGGGCCCAGTCCAGACCCCTGCAAGCCCTGCCCACTCTGTTACAAACCCCACGCAGAGCACCACTGTGTTAACTCCTACCACTACAAGCCCCACGCCCAGTGCTATGAGCCCAGTCCAGACCACCACAAGCCCCACCCAGAACACCACTGTGTTAACTCCCACCACTACAAGTCCCACCCTCAGTGCTATGGGCCCAGTTCAGACCACCACAAGCCCCGCCCTTATAACGTCAAGCCTTTCCACTTCTGCAGACCACACTACGCTCCCCAGCCCCTCTGCACCTGTGTGCCCCACCCTCTTAGGCACCCACCCCTTGCCCTGTAGCCAGCCCATCTCTACTCCCAGTATTCAGGCAGACTGCATAGCCCCTAGCACCTCCTACCCAAGCGCAGCCTGTTCTGGTTGGAAACCCCTCGTGAGCCCTGCCCCCAACGTCCCAGAGCCCATCTTGCAGAGCCCAAGCCCCCCTCCTTCACCCCAAACTCCTGCACTGCAGCATTCAGAACCTCGCCTGGTCTCAGCTGCCCAGGACCCAGTCCCAGGGGCAGCTGGAGGGGCTGGGGATAGGAGACTTGAGGAGGCCCTGGGGGCCCTCATGGCTGCCCTGGATGACTATCGTGGCCAGTTCCCTGAGCTACAGGGCCTGGAACAGGAGGTGACCCGGCTGGAGAGTCTGCTTATGGTGAGGAGGAAGGGGCGGGGCAGGGCCAGCGTGTGTGTGTGTGTGTGTGTGTGTGTGCGCGTGCGCACGCGTGGGCGGGTGGGGGTGGGGGAGACAGGAGGGCGGCCAGGCAGTGCAGCAGCTCTTCCTCTTCACAACCTCAGCAGAGACAAGGCCTGACTCGCAGCCGGGCCTCCAGTCTCAGTATCACTGTCGAGAACGCCCTGGAGAGCTTCAGCTTCCTCAATGACGACGAAGAGGAAGACAGTAATGGTCCTGGGGACAGGTGAGGGGCTGAGTGAGATCCGGGAGGGGTGGGCTGGGTGAGAGGGAGGAGAGAGAATGTGGTGGGGAGTGAACAGTGCCAGGTGAAAGGAGCTGGTGAACTGGGAACGAAGGCGAGGAGGGAGCAGGTGGGCTGGGGCCAGTGAGGGCACATAGGGTGGCCTTGCTGGCGGCTGTGCCTGTGTTCACTCCTCCTGTGTACCCCTAGTGTGTCCCTGATGCCCATGTCTCCAACCCCGTCTGTCCCCAGTGCTTCTGACCGCCCCTGTCCTCGCCTCCTCCGTGTCTGCCTCCCTCACCGGTCCCTGTCATCCTGTGACCCTCCAGCCCCTGCTCGTCCCCTTAGCCTTGGCTTGAACCAGCCTCCTGAAGGAAGTGTCTCTGTGCCTCCCTACACACATCGGCTCCCCCAGCACCGGTTCCCTTCGTCTCGACTCAGAATCTCTAGGAGGCCCTGGGCCTTAAGCGCTCAGTCCCGGAGTGGCTCTTATCAATTACCAGTTGAGAGTCGTACCCGGTCTCTCCTCCCTCTGCTGCTGCCCAGGTTGCGGCCCCATGCCCTCCGCCGCTTCCAACCCACATTTCGTAGACCGTCCCGCCTGCAGCCCTACTCCCACCCATCCCAGCCTCGGAAGCCCCGGTAGCCCCGGTGAGCCTAGTTGGAGGTGGCACAGGGCTGGCTGATCAGGAGACCCTGCTTCCACCTGCTGCTCCCAGCCCCTTCCTCCTCCTGGAAGTCCTCCGTGAACTTACCCATTGTCTGTTGTCTGTGCATGGTCTGTTACTCCATTCTGGGATAGGGAAACTTAATAAAAAATAAACATTGGTGACCAGATGGTAATGTGTGCTCCTGGGGCAATCGGCCCCCTTTTTCTCTTAGGCCCCCAGGCAGCCTGGAGGCTGGGGCTGAGGACAGCCTAGACTCACCTAGCGCCCGCCCCCTCAGCACAGGGTGCCCAGCCCTGGACACTGCCTTGGTCCAGCACCTGTATCACTGCAGTCGCCTCCTGCTGGTGAGACCAGTGGTATTCCCCATCCCCTTCCCCATAACCCCTTGCCCCAGGGACCCCTGTACCTCTGCCGAGTCCCACACCCCAATGTCCCAGGGCCCTGGCCTCTGGCTCTCAGTGGAGAGAAGACCTCCCACACTCAGGCTCACTTTGCCACCTCTCCCAATGCATGCCGGGGCTCCTCCAAACCTCAGGGTCTGAGGGACTTGGGTGCCACCCCTTGTTCTCCAGAAACTGGGCACGTTCGGGCCCCTGCGCTGCCAGGAGGCATGGGCCCTGGAGCGGCTGCTGCGGGAGGCCCGCGTGCTTGAGGCAGTGTGTGAGCTCAGCAGGCTGTGGGACGTCCCCGTCACGTCTGCCCAGGAAGGTACAGGCCCTTTGGGCTCGGGCTCAGGCACCTGCCCCAAGCCCCTTCACCCCACCTCCGTCGCCTGTCACCTCCCTGCCTGCTCTTGCTGATGGTTTCCCTGCACCCTCTCCTAGTGGTGCAGTTCTCCACCTCTCGACCTGGCTTCCTGACCTTCTGGGACCAGTGCACAGAGGGTCTCGGCCCCTTCATCTGCCCCGTGGAGCGGGTGCTCCTTGCCTTCTGCAGCCAGCACGGTGCCCGCCTCTCCCTGCGGCAGCCAGGTTTAGCTGAGGCTGGTAAGTGGGCTGCCTTCCTACCCTTTCCGTCTGTCCTCTCCTGGTTCCCCAGTGGTGGGGACCTCAGGGAAAGCCAGGTCAGGCCCCACCAACCCAGGAGCCGTGCACTGAGAAATAGTGAAGGCTCCTGCGTAACGGTTGGAGGAGCCTGATGGGTAGGGTGTGCGTGGGGCCCTGGGCCTGCGCCTGGGTTGGGAGCACTGCCCTCCCTCTAAAAGCCTGGGTCCATCCTTCCCACAGTGTGTGTGAAGTTCCTGGAGGACGCCCTGGGGCACAAGCTGCCCCGGAGGCCCCAGCCAGGCCCTGGCGAGCAGCTGACCATCTTCCAATTCTGGAGCTACGTCGAAACCTTGGACAGCCCCTCCATGGAGGCCTATGTGACCGAGACTGCTGAGGAAGGTAAGGCAGTGGCCCTGGTCAGAGCAGCCTTACCCTGTGGGTAGGTCTGAGGGTGTGGACGGGGACAAGGCCTCTTTGTCCTGCCACCTTGTCCCAACCCCCTCTCCTTCCTGCCTTCAGTGTTACTCGTGCGGAATCTGAACTCAGATGACCAGGCTGTTGTGCTGAAGGCCCTGAGGTTGGCACCTGAGGGGCGGCTGCGCAGGGATGGGCTTCGGGCCCTCAGCTCGCTGCTCGTTCATGGGAACAACAAGGTCATGGCTGCTGTCAGTACCCAGCTCCGGAGCCTGTCGCTGGGCCCTGCCTTCCGGAAGAGGGTGAGAGTTGGGTAGGGACCTTGAAAGGGCGGGGGCTCGGGCCCCAGGCTGCCAGAGGCAGGCTAAGTCTCTCTCTTCCCCTTGCTTTGTCAGGCCCTCCTGTGCTTCCTGGACCAGCTGGAGGATGAGGATGAACAGACCCGAGTGGCTGGCTGCCTGGCCCTCGGCTGCATCAAGGTGCCCCTGCCAAGCCAGCCGCACTTTCTCTGCGCTCCCAGCACCTCTACCCCCAGACCCCTCCTGCCTCCTCCTCTAGGCCCACCTTGTTGCTCTCTCCCCTAACAGGCTCCTGAGGGCATCGAGCCCTTGGTGTTCCTGTGCCAGACAGACACAGCAGCCGTGAGGGAAGCTGCCCGGCAGAGCCTGCAGCAGTGCGGTAAGATAGGGGATCGGGTGCGGTGGACTCGGGCGTGCTGGCCGACGGGGAGGAGCAGGGGCTGGGGCCGGGGCCGCTCCTCAGCCCATCCGCACACATCACAGGGGAAGAAGGTCAGTCTGCCCATCGACGGCTGGAGGAGTCACTGGATGCCCTGCCCCGCATCTTTGGACCTGGCAGCATGGCCAGCACAGCATTCTAAACTCCGTCCACCGGCTCCCAGGGCCCCTTCCCCTACTTTCAGGGCTTACCAGGCACTGGCAGGGAGGGTGAGGGCTGGCTCGATACCCCTCCCCCACAGATTCCTATCAATGTAAAGTCTAATATATTCTTCTGTTGCCCCTGGGGTTGGTAGAGTCGGTGCCTGCAGTCAAGTGCCTCCCAGCCTCAGCATGGCACGTCCCAGCCACAGACAGTGTCCGGGGCCTGGCACCCTGCCCCTGCCCCGCCACATCCCATGGTTTTGTATTTTATTTACAGAGTTTTACAGAAAATAAACAGATTGCCTTTCCTACATGGCTTGGTACACTCTCACACTCTGCTCCGCCCTCCCCTAGCTGGGGCTCTCGTGGACACCGCTGTGTTCACGCTCCAGCTGTGGCAACAGCACATGCATTTGCCCTGGAAATCCGGGTGGTACAAAGTCCAGGGACTGGGACTGGGCTTGGGGAAGTGGGGGTGGGGTGAGTCAGTCTGCAGACTGGGCCCAGGGTGCAGCTGAACCATAGAGCTGGCCCAGAGAAGCCCCACAGGGCATGTCCTGGGAATGGTCCTGGCAAGGGGTTAAAGCAGTCAGAAAGACTGCATGGTGTAGCTGAGCTTGTGGCCACCAGGGGGCAGAAGAACCACATCAGCGGATGCCAGGCTCTTGGTCCTCCTCTTAGCCCAGGCAGCTTCCTACTCAAAGCTGGGTAGGTCCTCCCAGAGGGGAAGAATTGAGGCCTGGAGGCCAGAGACCCAGGGCCACCCTGTGACCCAAGACAGCAAGCCCCTTCCTTCCTCCATCTGCCTCTTTCTCTAATAACAAACTTGCTGCCACCTGTGGCTCCCCAGGGCAGGCAGAGCCCTGCTGCTCAGGAAGCAGGGCTCCCAGGAGAGGGCCACCTGCCGCAGAGCGGCCAGGCACATGAATGTGTTAACTCCTCTGTGTGAGCACCGGAGGGTGGAGTGCAACTGCAGAATGGCAGGCCTGCTCTGCAGATGCCCCGCCCACAGCCCCCCCTTCCCTTCTCCCCAAGCTTCATTACCCAGGGGCAAGGGAGCCAGTGCTCGGTGCTCCGGCAGCGCCGCCGCGGCTCACTGAGCCCACTCTGGTAGCCTGTGCCTGTGGTGTGGCGCAGCACCGTGACGGCACATGCACTGTGCTGGGGATGTGAGTGCCTGCTCTCTGGAAGAGCCAATGAGTGCCGAACAACAGTCCGCCAGGCCTCGGCGAGGATGTGTGTGTTTGTGGGTGACCCAGATCCCCAGGGAGCCCTGCCCCCCAGCGTTTTGAAGAGGCTGTGTACCAAGGGGTTTGGCTGGGGCCTCAACCACCTGCTGGGGAAGCCTCGCTGAGCAGAAGGGAAAAAAAAAAAAAAAACGGCAACAGGAAGGCGCACAGGAAACACCTGCTTGTGGATGCAGGTGGCTCACTCCAGGCCGGTGGGGGTGGGGGTGGGGGTGAGCAGACAGCCTTCAGCACACTGGCACAGCTCTGTGTGTCCTCTGTAACTATGAACGGTGGCCCTGGCAGGAGGGTGCAGCTCATGGGGCAGAGAAGACAAACAAGTGAGACCAACCAACCCCCAAAACTGCCCACAGCTTGGGCCTGTCCCATCGGGCTCTGCAGGAGGGTTGCAATCACAGACCCACCCTTGGGGGCCTCTCGGACCAGAGGCCCCACAAGAGGCCCACTGGGAGGACGGGACTATCCACTTGCATCAGGAGGGTAGCCTATGGGGCCAGCACTGTGGTGTAGCAGGTGAAGCTGCCGCCTGCAGTGCTGGCTCCCATGGGGGCACCAGTTCGAGTCCTGGCTGCTCCACTTCCCATCCAGCTCTCTGCTATGGCCTAGGAAAGCAGTAGAAGATGGCCTGAGTCCTTGGGCCTCTGCACTCCCGTGGGAGACCCGGAACAAGCTCCTGGCTCCTGGCTTTGGATCAGCTCAGCTCTGGCTGTTGCGACCATTTGGGGAGTAAACCAGCAAATTGAAGACCCCCCCCCTTTCAAATAAATTAATTAATATAAAAAAAAAGTAGCCTGTGTGGTGGGGAAAGAGGAAGTAAACAGGGGCAGCTGACCAGGTCGTGGGAAAGTGCAGATGGAGTGACCAGGCCAGCATGAGCTCACAGCTCAGTCCGCAGGAGAGGGCAGGGCCTGGGCAAGAAATGGGAGGGAAATGTCCATCTCAGCTGGGGGTGGGGGGGTGGGAGTGTCAGCTGGGGCTGTCCTGAAAATCCTTGCTCTCTAACAACGGGGAGGGTCAGAACCCCTAACTCTGTAGTCTTCAGTGAGGGTCTTGAGGCCGGAGACAAGTAGTCAGCTTCAAGCAAGGGTGGGTGTGACGACCAGGGTGGGCAGGAGCTAGAATTAAGGTGAATTGAGCACAGCTAGTGAAAAAACTGTCAAGGCCAGGTCAAAAGGGCACAGGCCCTCAGGCCTCGCCCACTGAGCCCACCTGGCTCCGTGCAGCATGGATCAAGCACATGATAGCCACTCGACTCCTTCCCACCAGTGACTGGCAGGCTGATGGCCTCCTAGGCCCAGCCCCAGGTCTGTGAGATGGCGCAGGGAGGGGATTACCCTTGTCCTCCCATGTCTGCCCACCCTGACCCTCTTCACCTCACAGGTGCTACCCAAAGGTCTTCAGAGATCTCCCCGCCTCCTTGCCTGATGTCAGGCAGCTCCGGGGAGGCGTTCAGTTCTGCTGTCCTGACTCAGGAGATGGGGGGGAGGGGAGTGGAGGGGACCTGCTGCCCCAGGTGATGATGGGAAGTTGATGACACCATCAGGAGTCAGAAGTGTCAGGGCAGTGAAAGCTTACATCCATCTGCCTGTGCCAGCCTCTGCGAGAGGACAGAGGGAAGTAGCCCTCCAAGGCCTGTGACACAATGACAAGTGCCCTGCTAATTAAGTCCATCAAGGCCACAGCCATGCCGTGGCCATATCTAAACTCAGCCCAAAGGACACTGAAATACGCGCGCTGCAAAAAAGGGGCCAGGCTGAGGTGGTCCAGGACATGATTTATTGCGGGGATGCCCACTGGAGCTACTTCCCACTCCCCTCCTTTCCTCTTGCCCTCTTCCAAGCTTACCTCTCCTCCTGTCTCCCACTTCTCTTCCTCGTGGACTCAGAGCTGCAGAGAACCAAAAATAGAAGAAGAAAGAAAAGAGGCATGTTTGTGAAGGCAAAGGAGCAGATGGGTTGGCACGTGGGACGAGGGCTGCTGCTTTGTGTCGCCCACAGAGCGGGGGTGCCTTCCTTGTGTGTCTCTGTGCCTGGCGTGTGGGTACAATTTGCTGAACCCCAGGCGTATGACATGCTCCCTCCTTTCCCTCCCTCCCAGAGAGCCCTGGAATATTCCACCCAGGTTATCCATCCCCCACAGACAGAAGGCTCTTGGCTTGGCTGCCAGGCGTGGCTTTTCTGGGACTGGGTGATACTGGAGGATGTGCTTGGGAAGGACTCCAGTGCCACATTTAAACTGCTAAGGAGGCACAATCTATCCTTTAGGAAATAGAACCATTACTGGGGACAGGCACTGTGGTGCAGCAGGCACAGGAGGCCATCACCTGTGGCACACTGGGGCACAACAGGTTAAGCCATAGCTTGGGAGGCCCGCATTCCATATCAGAGTGCTGGTTCAAGTCATGGTGGATTGCCAATACACCTGGGAAGGCAGCAGATGATGGCCCAAGTAGTTTGGTTCTTGCCACTCACATAGTTCCTGGTTCCTAGCCTGTGCCCGGCCCAGTCCTGGCTGTTGCGGGCATTTGGGAAGTGATTCTCTCTCTCTTTCTCTTTCTGTCATTCTGCCTTTCAAATAAATAAACAAACAAATCTTTACAAGTAAAAAACCATCACTGGGGCCAGCACTGTGGTGTAGTGGGTAAAGCAGTGCCGCATACCATATGACGCAGGTTCGAGTCCTGGCTGCTCCTCTTCCGATCCAGCCCTCTGCCATGGCCTGGGAAAGCAGTAGAGGATGGCCCAAGTTCTTGGGCCTCTGCACCCATGTGGGAGACTTGGAAGAAGCTCCAGGTTCCTGGTTTCAGATGGATTCAGCTCTGGCTGTTGTGGCCATTTGGGGAGTGAACGAGTGGACAGGAGACCACTCTGTCTCTCTCGGTGCCTCTGCCTCTGTAACTCCACCTTTCAAATAAATAAATAAATCATAAACAACAACAACAACAACAACAAACCGTCACCGACCTGCAAGAAAGCACCTCTGGTTTCAGAGGGTTGCAACGAGGTGATGGCCATCAGTCCGAGTTTGATGTCAAGAGTCAAGTCTCACTTGTCTTCAAAATACACCCAGGGCACATGGACAGTCAGTGCTGGCACAGAGCAGCTGTCACTCCACAGGGCTCCACTCAAGGCCCTTCCCTTTCTCTCTCTCTCTAAAGTTTTATTTATGTATTTGAAAGGCAGAGTTACAGAGAGGCAGAGGCAGAGAGAGAGTGTGTGTTTTCCATCTGCTGGTCCACTTCTCAAATGGCTGCAATGGCCAGAGCTGGGCCAGGCCAAAACCAGGAGCCAGGAGACTCTTCCAGGCCTCCCCCATGGGTGCAAGAGCCCAAGGACTTGGGCCATCTTCTACTGCTTTCCCAGGCCATGGCAGAGAGCTGGCACTGCAGGTGGTGGCTTTACCTGCTATGCCACAGCAGTCTGCCACCCACACCTCCCACCCCCGCCCCTTGAAACACACTCCCTGGGCCACCTCATCCACCCCCTGGCTTCCCTGTGCTGCTGGGGCTGTATGTCAGTCATTTGCACGGCCCTCACCTCACTTGGCATCCCACATCTAACCGCAGCTGACTAGACACTTCTTGTGAAGGTCTGGAGCATTTCAAACTCAACATGCTCAAAATCAAACTCAACATCTTCAAATATTTACCTCCAGGGCTCCTGGGGTCACTCACTCCTCAGATACCCAAGCCACACAACGGGTCTTGTCCTTGACTCTTTGCTGTCCCTTCTTCCTAGCCATCAGAATCCCCTAACTAAACGTCCTAAATATTCCTAACCTCTGCCTACTTGTCTCTCTCTTTTTCCCCTTCGCTTTATTTAGAAGGCAGAGAGACAGACAGAGTCTTCCATCTGCTGATTCACTCCCCGAGTGCCCATAACAGCCAGGCGTGGGCCTGTGCCCACCTCTCAATATGGACCTCCCTCATGCATAGCAGGGTCCCAAGTTCTTAAGCAATCATCTGCTGCCTTCTAGGGTGCACACTAATTTTTTTTTTAAAGATATATTTATTTGTCTGAAAGGCAGAACTACAGAGAGAGTGTGAGAAACAGATCTTCCATCTGCTGGTTCACTCCCCAAATGGCTGCAACTGCCAGTGCTGGGCCAGGCCAAAGCCAGGAACCTACAACTCCATCTGAGTCTCTCATGGCAGGGGCCCAAACATTTCGGCCGTCTTCTGCTGCTGTCTCAGGCCATTAGCAGGGAGCTGGATCAGAAATGAGGCAGTTGGAGGGCCAGCATTGTGGGATATTAGGTAAAGGCACCGTCTGTGATGCCGGCATTCTATATGGGCACAGATTTGTGTCCTGGCTGCTCCACTTCTGACCCACTCTGCTAATGGCCTGGGAAAGCACAGAGACTGGGCTGAAACTCCCAGTTTCAACCTGGCCATTATGGCCAACTGGGGAGTGAGCCAGTGGATGGAAGATCTTTCTGTCTTCCCCTCTCTGACTCTCAAATAAATAAATAAATAAATAAAAGAAATGGAGCCGCTGCGACTCAAACCAGCGCTCATATGGGATGCCAGCATTGCAGGTGGTGGCCTAACCCACTGTGCCACAATGCCGGGCCCTAAGGGTACACATTAGCAGAAAGCTGGATCAGAAATGGAGGAACTGGGACTTGAACCAGCCACTCCAACATAGGAAGCAGGTGGCCCACCTGGCATCTTAACTGCTGCACTAAATGCCCACCCCTGCCTACTTCTCTTTAGGCCCACTGGCCTGACTCAGTTTCAAGAGTCGTTAACCTCTCACCTAGACACTAAAACTGCCCCCTCGCAGGCTCTCTGCTTCTAGTCCTGCCCCTCTTCCACTCGTTCTCCACGATGCAGTCAGAGTGATTTCTAGAACACAAGCCTACCACTGCAGGCTCCTTTTCTGTGTCTTAGTAAAACGCCCAGCCTGCTCCCCCTGGCTCACTTTGAATCTATTCTCTCCAGTGTCATTTCTGCGACTGAACTTCCGGGATCACTTGCTGGGCTCATTTATTCCTGGAGCTGGGACAGCACCCTCTGCGGTGCACCAGCCCCACCCCTCTGTCACCCTGATCTTGTCTGCTCACCGATAGACTTTGGCCTAAACATTACAAATTTCTTTAGGAAGTTGGGCCTCTACTCACTTCTGTGACAGGAGACTGCACCTGCCCTAGTAGAACCACAGCAACACCCTGTTGCAATCACTTAGTTGTCTGTACCCTTATCTGTAAGTTTGAGTATTGGCTGACTAGTCTACCTGCCTGAACATCTGGAGAAGACAATGGGTGACTTCCCTGTGTGGAACTTGCTCCGAATTGTTTTCTTTTTAAAAAACAGCTTTATTGAGATTTAGTCTACATACCATGGGATTTAATTATTTGAAGTGCGTAACTCAATGCCTTTTTGTACATTTCCAGAATATATAACCATCACCATAGTTTCAGAATATTTTCATCAACCCAAAATGAAACCATCCACCCCCTTAGCCCTCAGCCATCACCCTGGGCCCCTGCTTTCTCCCCCTTCCCCCACTCTAAAAAGCCACAAATCTACCTTCTGTCTCTACAGAGTTGCCTACTCTGAACAGTTCTCTTTTTTTCCTCAATTTTTATTTATTTATGTGAGAGCTAGACACAGAAGCAGAAAACGCTCCCATCCGCTGGTTTACTCCCCAAATGTCTGTAATGGCTGGGGCTGGGCCAGGTTGGACTCAAAGCCAGGAACTCAGTCTAAGTCTCCCACATGGGTGGCAGGGACCCAACTACTTGAGCCATCACCACTACCTCCCAGGGTCCACACTGGCTGGAAGCTGGAATAGGGAGCCAGAGCCAGGAATCAAACCAGGCACTCAAAAACCGGATGTGGAGCCTCTTAATCACTAGGTCAAATGCCACCCCCTCCCCAACTTTTCCAGGTGGAAGTACTCTGGAGTCAATACAGGAGAGGCCTGGAAGCACAAAGCACTTCCCCTAAGTCCTCCATGGGGCAGAGCTCTTCAGACGGAACACAGCCTGAGCGGGGACAAGGGGAGGGAGGTTAGAATACTGGAGCAGAAAGAACTCACAGGGGCCTGAGGGGGCCATTAGACCCGAGCGTGAATAGGTAAGCAGGGGGCTTGGTCATAGTGGGGGTGGGGGAGGATGGGCGTGGTGCCCTGCGGAATGTCGGAATGGCGGAATGGCGAAGGAGTTTGGAATTTACCCCCAGGATACTGGGGAGCATCCAGGGGTCTTGAAGCAGAGGAATTTGGTGATGACATCTGTGCTTTGGGCAGATCACTTTGGCAGGTGTGTGGAGGGAGGAGGCAGGAGGTAGTGCAGTCAGCAGCTCTTGTCAAGAAAAACAATAGTGACTTGGGCCAGAGCTGGGCAGTGGGAAGGAGAGGAAGTTAGAGTGGACAGACGTTCCAAAGGCAGAATGGACAGGGTTGGTGATTGATAGGACAGAGCAGGTGAGAGAATGAAGCCAGGGCTGCTGGCCTGGGTGATGGATGGTGGTATCATTCGTGAAGAGGAGAGACCTAAAGAGGCAGGTTGAGAAGTGAGTGGTGAGGGTGGCCTGGGAGCTATCCAAGAGGACGTGTCCAGAAAGAAGCTGGTTATATAGGTCTGGAGCAGGGAGAGACAGGTTGGGGAAGGCAGCAGAGTCTGAGTCATCCTTGCTATACTACGAAGCTTCCACGACTACTGTGATGTCCAGAGGCTGCTCTGCTCCTCTCACACCTGTATTCTCCATCTTTGCACTTGCCTTGTCATCCTTGACTTACCTGCTAATGCTCAGGAAGTTTAGTATGGTTTCTCCACACTAGTAAAAGATAAAATATAAGTCACTCAAGGGCTACGGGTATCATCTATCTCCAGCGTCACCCAGCATTGAGCATAAACCAGCATCCTTAGCAGACATTCAGAACATGCTTATAGATTAGTGAGTCATCACCTCACATGCATGGCTGTTGGTATAGAGGTTAAGATGCCAGCACATCATATCAGAGTGCTTGAGTTCAAGTCCTGGCTCTGCTTCTGAGTCCAGCTTCCTGCTATCAAATACATGTGGGAGACCTGGAATTCTGGGCTCCTGGCTTCCTCTTGGCCCAGCCCTGGCTGTTGCAGGCATTTGAGAAGTGAACCAAGGGATGGATGATCTTTATCTGCCTTTCAAATAAGTAAACATTTAAAAACATCTAATTCAGAAAAAAAATAAGTTATCTTAAAAACCTTTGTCCTCTTTGCATCAAAGCCTTTCCTTTGGGTGAAGGCAAGAGTGTCCACCTTGTTTAGCAACTGAAATCTTTCTTCCTGCTAAGCCAATTATAACCACATACAGCTGGGAGAAGCAGGAGCGGTCAGGGAGCAGGGAGGCCCACAGCTCACACGGTAGACCTCCCTGCCCCTTCCAAGGCAGCCTGGGAACCCCAGCATCACCTCCAGAGGATTCCTATAGAAATGGAAATATATCTGACAGATGGAGGAGCTCCAGCTGCCAAAGCAGAGCAGGGAGAGGGTGGGGCCAGAAGACCTGAGCCCTCAGGTCAAGTTCCTGGATGTCCCTGAGCATTCTTGAATTTAGAATTTAGGTCAGAACTGTGCCTGGCTCATCCAACAGAGCTGTGAGCATTACTTGAAAAAGTAGACATGTACAGCTGAGACAGATGATTCAAGGATCGATGCAGGGGAGAGCACAGCAACAAAACTAACCAACTTCCTTCCCCAGTGTGAGATGGAGGTCTAAGGAAAGTCCTTTACATTTCTGAGGGCAGTCATTTGAGATGAGGTAAAAAAATAAACATGGCTCCCACATGGGTTTGAAGAAAGCCGACTTTAATAAGGGAAAAAATCCCTGTGGTCTGGCAAGTCCTTAAAATGTTAGGAGAAACTGGCTGGCCCTGGCGGGTGATGCCGGCAGTGAGTGAAAGCTTTCCAAATGTCCGTGAGGTTTCGCATCGCTGCTCCGCCCAGTCCAGTGCTGTGGGATGATTTGCTGCCAAACACTCTAGTGCACTTTTACGTCCTTGATCATGGTTCTTCACCTTACACACCTGTGCCTCACTTGCTAATGCCTTTGTTGTTGTTGTTGTTAATGCCTTTTTAATCCTTTAGAGTCAACTAAAATAATATACTCTTGGAGAATGACTTGCTCCTTTATCTGTGAGCTCTTGTCTGTCTGTTACAACAATTATCACTTTACTGCTTTGGTTGTTTTTAACCAACTTTAAAAGTTAACCTTTGAGGGCCGGCGCCGCGGCTCACTAGGCTAATCCTCCGCCTAGCGGCGCCGGCACACCGGGTTCTAGTCCCGGTCGGGGCGCCGGATTCTGTCCCGGTTGCCCCTCTTCCAAGCCAGCCCTCTGCTGTGGCCAGGGAGTGCAGTGGAGGATGGCCCAGGTGCTTGGGCCCTGCACCCCATGGGAGACCAGGAAAAGCACCTGGCTCCTGGTTCCTGCCATCGGATCAGCGCGGTGCGCCGGCCGCAGCGCGCCGGCCGCGGCAGCCATTGGAGGGTGAACCAACGGCAAAGGAAGACCTTTCTCTCTGTCTCTCTCTCTCTCACTGTCCACTCTGCCTGTCAAAAAAAAAAAAAAAAAAAGTTAACCTTTGAGTTCAAAGGGAGGAAACACATCTCTGGATGTCCAGTGCCCAGTACAGAGAACTGCACACAGTAGGCACTCAGTGTCTGCTAAACGGAATCACAAGTCACACATGTCCTCAGTAGGTACAGCAGGCGTATTCATGTGTAACTTCGGGCCCTTCTCCAAAGTGGGCAGGAACAAAAAGATAAAAATTTTTAAAAGCGATCACGTCTGTCCGAAGGCAGGAGTTGGGAATGTGGCTAGGTAACAGAAGCACAAAAATAAAGAAGGAATAATAATAGTTTACATTTTTTGTATGAATTGTTGGTGGCTAGAACTATTCCAAAAGCTTTCCAGGCATTTTCTTGTTTAATCCTCACTACTGTGTCAAGAACAATTATCATCTCATCTTACAGAGGAGAAACCTCTAGTTGGATTGTTACTAATTCACCTGAGATCACACAGCTAATAGGAAGCCAAGACAAGATCTGAAACCAGGACAATCTGGCTCCAGCCACCGGAGGATGATATGAAACATTGAGTTATATAACTAATGCCTCTTAATCTAATTAACTGTTCATCAAAAGCCTTCTAGTAACTTGGCTTCCCAGGATGCTCTCCTATAGGGAAACAACATGCTTTGTGCCAGCATGAGGACACTGGTCCACTTGCCAGTTAATAAAGTGGCACTCTGCTTCTCCGTTAAGCTCCTGTGCACCTGGCAACCTCCTGAGGAAGGAATTCACTCTCAGGGTATACACCCCGCTGAGTTTCTGGTTGTACCTGTGAAGTTGCAGGCTGGATCCTGATGTGGTGACTCTACTGCCATGTGTTGAGCCAGACAACCTCCTGCTAACACCCTGAACATTCCTGTGGACCATAAACCCAAGAGCCAGTTGTGGGAAGAACCCTTGCTCATATCCTCAAAAATGAGGGGGTATTCTTGTAATCTTTCTGTCTTGCACAACAACCTTGCCAACACTAAACCTATGCATATTTTTAGCTTGTTCCACCTCTTGGGATAATGATCTAAAACTACCCTTTATAAATCACAGAGCAGGGCCCCCAGTTCTCATGGGTGGGACCGTCTGGGTTACTACTCCAGGGAACAAACCTGCCGTTATTTTTAACAGTCCAGGCTTATGCAGACTCTCATCAGGTTACAATTCCCTCTCAGCTGGTCTCTTTCCAGCTTGAAACATCCTACCCTGCTGGCTTGGCTTTCCACTCCTTGGCTCTTGGAGCTGATTCCATGAAGTAGGACACATCACGATTTCTACCAAGAGAAGAAAATACTCCCTTTTGTTCCTCCTAGTGATTCTCAGCTCTTTCTCAGCCCTGTGTCACAGCAGCACAGGATCCTTGTCTTGGGAAAATGGGCTCGGAGGCCACTTGGACTCCATTCCTAGCTTCTAACGGGTACCTCGGAGGTCATTTGTTGTACATATACTTGAGGTCTTTTCTCCCTAAACACACTACCTTATACAGGGGTACTTCAAAAAGATCATGAAAAAATGAAATTTAAAAGTACTTGTTTACTTTAGTGTAAAAACTTTTTAAATAAAGAGATCTATTTATTTGAAAGAGTTACAGAGTGACAGAGTGAGAGACAGAATTCACTCCCCAAGTGGTTATAACAGCTGGGGCTGGGCCAGGCCTAAGTCAGGAGCTTCCTTCTGGCCTCCCACACGGGGGCAGGGGTCCAAAGACTTGGACCATCTCTGCCTCTTTCCCAGGCACATTAGCAGGGAGCTGGATTGGAAACAGAGCAGCCAGGATTCGAACTAGTGTACATATGGGATGCCAGCATCACAAGCAGCGGCTTAACCCATTTTGCTACAATGCTGGCCACCTGTAAAAACTTTTATCAAGGGGCCTGCACTGTGGCATAGTGGGTAAAGCCACTGCCTGCAGTGCCAGCATCCCATATGGGTGCTCATTGGAGTCCTGGCTGCTCCACTTCCAATCCAGCTCTCTGCTATGGCCTGGGCCCCTGCACATGCCTGGGAGATCCGAAAGAAGCTCCTGGCTCCCATCTTAGGATCGGCGCAGCTCTGGCCATTGTTGCCAACTGGAGAGTGAACAGCGGATAGAGGACTTCTCCCTCTCTCTGCCTCTCGTTCTCTCTCCGTGTAACTCTTTCAAATCAATAAATAAATCTTTTAAAAAATTTTATCAAAATACATGGAAAATTCATATTATGAAAAAACTATTCATGGACTTCAAAACTTTTTTGGTACCCAAGTAAATGCACACTTTAAATTCTGTGAACTATTTGAAGTCCCCTCATATTTGTCCAGACTACAGCTTTTAAAAATGTTCTTGTAGTTTATTTATTTTTTAAAGATGTATTTATTTACTTGAAAAAGTTACAGTGACAGAGGGAGAGACAGAGAGAATCCGTCGATTCATTCCCCAGATGGCCACAATGGCCAGGGCTGGGCCAGGCCAAAGCTAGGAGTTTCATCTGTGTTTCTCACGTGGATTGCAGGGGCCCAAGGATTTGGGCCATCTTCCCCTGCTTTTCCCAGGCCAGTAGCAGGGAGGTGAATAGGAAGTAGACTAGTGCCTGTATGGGATGCCAGTGACTCAGGTGGCGGCTTTGTCTGCTGTGCCACATGCCAGTCCCATAGTTTATCTTAAGCTAAAAAAAAAAGATGATCTGAGGTAAAGACTTAGGAGGAAGTGAATTAATTAGATTATTAAAGGTACTAGGAAGAAAAAGAAGTTAAGGATTTAAATGTAAGTCAGCTTTGTTGTTTCCAGTATCTAAGGTCCTAAGTATACCAGCAGCTATTTGAGGTGATGGTGTAAAATGCAACTATTCAGAGGCAGGTGCAGGGCCCAAGCACTTGGGCCATCCTCCACTGCCCTCCCGGGCCACAGCAGAGAGCTGGACTGGAAGAGGGGCAACCGGGACAGAATCCGGCACCCCAACCGGGACTAGAACCCGGTGTGCCGGCGCCGCAGGTGGAGGATTAGCCCATTGAGCCGCGGTGCCGGCCCACCAGGCTTAACTTTAAAATCCTGATCACACTCTTCAAATGGCCACCCAGTGCCACCAAGGAGGTATCACTGATTATTTGTTTTCTCACTTCCCTGCATTTGCATCTATCTTTACCTTCACATATGGGTATATACATATATCTGTATATGTATATATATTTTAAAGATTTATTTGAAAGACAGAGTGACAGAGAGAAGAATAGAAAGAGATCTTCCACATTTTGGTTCACTCCCCAAATGGCTGCAATGCCAGAGTTAATCTGGGTTGAAGCCAGTCTCCCATATGAGTGGCAGGTGCCAAGCATTTGGGCCATCTTCTGCTGCTTTCCCAGTTGCAATAGCAGGGAGCTGGATTGGAAACACAGCAACCACGACTCAAACCGCACTCCAATATGGGATGCCAGTGTTGCAGGCAGGGCTTACCCTCATTACCCATATTATTACTGGAAGCATCCTCCATCTCCTTACATCCTCCCGTGGATCTCACTCCCAGCCAGGTCAAACAAGTCATCTCTCCCCTGTATCACCGGTCTTCCATTTCCACCATGTTGCTCTCAATGGTGAATAAACAGGTTCCGAACTTTTTTTTTTTTTTCCCTAATTTGAGAGAGAGAGAGATCTTCCATCTGCTGGCTCAATCCCCAGATGGCCTCAACTGCCAATGCTGGGCCAGTCTGAAGCCAGGAGCCAGGAGATTCTTCCAGGTCTCCTAGGTGCAGCAGCCCAAGCACTTGAGTCATCTTCTACTGCTTTCCTAGGCCAACAGCAGGGAGCTGGATCAGAAGTGGAGAAGCCAGGACTTGAGTCAGTGCCTATGGGATACTTGCGTCACAGGCGGTGGCTTTAACAGCTCCTCCCCAGTGCCAGCCCCCACTCATCTTTAACATAATTAAATTTTTTTTTTATTTGAGAGGCAGAGACAGCACCTCTCATCCCCAAATGCCCTCCTCAATGGATGGGACTATATTGGATTGGAGTCAGAAACCAAGAACTCAATCTATGTCTCTCATGTGAGTGGCAGGAATCCAACCACTGCTGTCTCCCAGGGTCTACAGTGGAAAGAAGCTGGAGTTAGGAGCCAGAGCCAGGAACTGAATCCAGGCATTGTGAGAGAGAGAGACAGAGAGAAAGGTCTTCCTTTGCCGTTGTTGGTTCACCCTCCAATGGCCGCCGTGAACAGCGCGCTGCGGCCAGTGCACCGCGCTGATCCAGAGCCAGGAGCCAGGTGCTTCTCCTGGTCTCCCATGTGGGTGCAGGGCCCAAGCACTTGGGCCATCCTCCACTGCACTCCTGGGCCACAGCAGAGAGCTGGACTGGAAGAGGGGCAACCGGGACAGAATCCGGCACCCCGACCGGGACTAGAACCCAGGATGCCTGCACCGCAGGCAGAGGATTAGCCTATTGAGCTGTGGCGCGGGCCATGGGAATCTTAACCACAGGCTATACATCCACTTCCATCATCTTATTTAAAATATCTCCTGCCTTGACCACACATCTTCCTAGGCGTATTCCTAAATTTCTCTGCTCCCTTGGCAGCCAAACTGTTCTCAAGCTGCCACATATGATGTCTCTATTTCCTTACTCTCACATGCTTCAACCCATTCTGACAGGTCTACACCCCTGATTCACCCACACGAATCAAGCCAGTGTCACCAATGACATTCTCCAGTTACTTCTAGTTGATCGATCCAATAGTCATGTCTCCTGCTCCAATTTACCGTATCTTTCAGCAGCACTAGACTTCCATTATCCTGTCTCTAAATGTTATAAACAGCCTACACATGTGGTTTAATTAACTCATGAAGTTTAAAAACACCTGATTCACTTGCTGATTTACTTGTCAACATCTAAAAATCTATAGATTTTAGGGGCTGGTGTTGTGGCATTTCAGCTAAAGCTATAGCCCGTGATGTTGGCTTTCCATATAGGCGCAGGTTTGTATCCCTGCAACTCCATTTTTTTTTTTTAAAAGATTTATTTATTTATTTATTTTAAAGGCAGAGTTACACAGAGGAGAGAAGGAAAGGCAGAGAGAGGTCAGTCTTCCATCTGCTGGTTCACTCTCCAAGTGGCTGCAATGACCGGAACTGCGCGGATTTGAAGCCAGGGACCAGGAGCTTCTTCCGGGTCTCCCATGTGGGTGCAGGGGCCCAAGGACTTGGGCCATCTTCTACTGCTTTCCCAGGCCACAGCAGAGAGCTGGATCGGAAGTGGAGCAGGTGGCAGTTTTACCCACTAGGCTACAGCGCCCCTCCCCCTTTTCTTTAAAGATGTATTTAATTATTTGAAAGGCAGAGTTAGAGATGCAGAGGCAGAGAGAGAGAGAGATAGGTTCCATTAATTCCTCAAATAGCCTCAATGATCAGATCTAGGCTGATCCGAACTCAGGAGCCAGGAGCTTCTTCCAGGTCTCCCACAAGGGGTGCAAGGGCCCAAGAACTTGGACCATCTTCTGCTTTCCCAGGCGCATTAGTAGAGAGGCAGAGAGTTGAATCAGAAGAGGAGAAGCAGGGACTGGAACCTGCACCCATATAGGATGCAGACACTGCGGACCCACCATGCCACAGCGCTAGCCCCAGCCACTCCACTTCTGACCCTGCTCTCTACTGATGGCCTGGGAAAAGCAGATGATCCACGTGTTTGGGCCCCTGCCACCCACGTAGGAGACCCAGATAAAGCTCCTGACTTTCGCCTGTCCCAGTGCTGACCAAGGCAGCCACTTGAGTAGTGTACCAGGGATGGAAGAACTCGATCTCTCTTTGACCCTCAAATCAATCAATCTTAAAAACAAAACAAACAAACAAAAAAAACCAACCTCTGGGGATTTTATATTTTAAAAATCCAGGTTCTATTTCTTCCAGGAAAGAAACAAAATTATCTGTTAAAACTGGGCCAGCATTATCGCAATAGAACAGTTGGATGGAGAAGAAATTGCTCCCCAGGCGCTGAGTAAGGGCGTTGGGAATACAGTCCTGAGTCATATTCCATTAAGTACCAAAAGGCGCTCCTCCCGGATCCACGAGAACATCTTGCTGTCAGCCCTCTGTCAACTTTCCCGCAAGTTGGGGAGGGTCCACAGGCGCCTCCCGGGGAGGGGGAGAGACTGAAGGATCCCGCCCATAGGGAACAGCTCTAGGGCAAAGACGAGACATGCACTCAAATACAGAATTACATGGCGTCAAAGAGAGAATCCTTTAAGGCAAAAGAAGACTGCTGTGGTCGTGAAAAAGCGTCAAGTCTGGTCTTCTGCAGTCTCTCCGGGCAGAAGCGGCTTGGGGAACCCAAGAGCTGGCCTTCTCCCTCTTCTAGGGCAGAGATCGCCACAAGCCGCCATGCAAGGACAGCCCTTCTCGCCGTCGCTCTTGGGCGCTGGACTGTGTCCGAAGAGCTAGGAGAGCGCCGGGCCTCAGCGGGCCTTACTCCGTGGCGGGCCGCTGAGCTATGCTCGGAGGGCGGGTCGGGCCCGCTTTGGGTGGAGACTGGGCGGGGCCGGGCCCAGAGGCCGCCTCGGCCCCACGGCCTGGTCCCGCGCGCGCTTCCTCAGGCCTCCCCCACTGTCCCAACCCTTAAGAGCGCGAGGGACCGAGGCAGCGGCTTGAAAACCAGGTCAAGCAAGCCGGGACCCGGGACCGCCCAGAGGCAGCGGCCTCCGCCCAGGAAGCCCCACCCAGCCGAAGCTCGAGCGCCCGGGCGCTCGCAAAGCCCACGCGCGACCGGGCGAGGGCGCGGAAGGGCGCGTGCGGCGTTACGACACGACTCGCGGCGCGTCCCGTGACGCCATCGCGCCCGCTTTTAAAAGTTGGCGCCCGGGGCCGCCTCCCATGCTGCCCTGCGCCAACCCCTCCCCTCACCTTTCCTCCCCCGCCCTCTACTCGCCGCCCGGCCGGCCCCCCCACCCGTCCCTTCCCTTATCAGCACCCGCGGCCCCGGCAGCGCCGACGCAGGCGCACTGCACCGCGCCGCCGCCATTTTGTGTCCGAGCCTGTGGAGCGATTAAACCGTGCGCGGAGCTGCTTCTTTGGCGGCAGCGGCGGTGGCGGTAGCCGGTGCGGGCGCGCGGAGCTGGCCGGGGACGCCGGGTGGCCGGAGCGGTGGAGCGGCGGCGGAGCGGGCGCTGCGGGGGGTGTGGCGCGAAGGTAAGGGGGCCCGGGGTGGAGGAGGTTTCGCGGGCCGCCTCTAGGTGTCACGATGGGGCCGCTCCGGTCGGCGCTGGCTGCAGCCCGGCGCCAGCGCCGCCGCCGGGGGGTGTTTGTCTCCCTCTACCGTCCCTGCTGCGGCGCGGCCGCCGCCATTGCCCGTCGCCGCCGCGGCCCGGCCGCTCCCCCCTACCCCGCCCGTCCGCTAGGCTTCCCTCTTGGCGGCGCGCTAGGCCCCGGGCGGCGGCGACAACAGAGGCCCGCGCGCCCGGCGACTCCATTTTCCTTCCTTTGTCTCTGCCCTCGAGGCCGGCTCTTGGCCCGGGCAATCGCCCGGCCGCGGCCCGCCCTCTGCCCTCCGCCCCTCCCGCGGCGGGTGGCCCCGGCCGAGACGCGATGTCCTCGGCCCGGCTTCCGCGCCCGCCTCGCTCAAGTGTCCAGACCCACTGCCGCCGCGCGCTCAGCCTGCTCCCGGAGCCGTACGGCTGTCAGGCCTCGGCCGACGCGTCTCGGGGCTGCCCATCCTCCAGTTCTCCCGATTCCCGGAACCTACCCGGCCGCGCTGCGTGCGTCCCCAACCGCTCGGCTGCTCAGCGGTGGCTCCCAGTCCGCGCGTTGCCGCCGCTGGTCTCCGTCTCCGCCGAGTGGCGCAGGCGGCGCTGCTGCGGCTGCGAGCAGAGGGGACCCCAGAGCTGCCGAGAGCTCCCTCTGCAAGGCTGGCTGAGCTGCTCGCGCCTCGACGCCGCCTGAGCGGGCGGGGGGACGCGCGCTCGCCGCCCCCGCCGGGCCCCGCTGCGCCCCCAAACTCGCGCCTGGGCTTCTCGCCCGACCTGACCCGGGCGGCCCCTGCGGTGGGCGGAAAAGACGGGAGTTACGCATCAAGTAGTAGTTTTCTGGCTCGGACACAGCAGTCCCTTGTAGTGATAGCAGCCTGACTTTGTGCGCTCAGAGATCTCAAAGGGACCGAAACGTAATTTCACTCTGAACTCCGGTGACGTGACAAACTCCTGAAATCGGGAATATGGGCAGTCTTAAGTTGGTTTGGGCAACCCTTGGGTTTCCCTCCCGCTTTAAAATGTCCTGATGCTCTAGGGCTAGGCGAAGGCAAGTTCTGCCCCGGGATTGTGCAACCCGACCTAAAGCGCCAGTAGGGCAGAATGAATTTATTCTTGACTCGACTGGTAATTTGCCCATACGCTGAAATATGAGGGTTGATGTTGTAATTGAATCCTGGGTCACTCGCTGCAGATGGTTTATAAATATCTGCGCCTAATGTAACTACTCTTTAGTAGCTGACTTCCTGTAGCCCTGAGTTCAGCAGTAAGCAAACATTCACATACATAGTCTTCACACTTTATTTGAGTTTAGGTCAGCTGGGAAAGTTAAAGTTCCACGTTCCCTCGGGCGGGAAAAGAAGCTGGGCATATATTTACTGTGCTTAAATCATTTTATATAATTAAAAAGCCTCTTTTGTTGAATTGCTAGAATTTCTTTTTGCTTTTCCCTTAAATGTTCTAGTGCCTTAATATAGTACTGTGCAGCAGTTGATGTAAATCAACTTAGGATGCTTTGGAGAGAAGAAAAGTCTGGATTAACATTTTTTTATGGAAGGAAAACTAGGCTAAATTTATGAGAAAATTAAAACCCCCTGGTGCTAAGCAAAGCCGTTCTGTCCACCCTGTGTATCTGTAGGTCTTACCAGCAATCTGCCCCCACAAGCAAGTCTTGTCCTTTTTTTTTTTTTTTTTTTTTTTTGGTAAGTCTTTTATTTTCACATCTTTTTTGAATCCTACAAAATGTTCCTTCTCCCTCCTCCCTAATAAAATTATACTAACTTTGATGAGTGTCAGGTTTGGGAAAAGAACCTCCTTTAACATGTTAGTTTGTGTAATTTGTTGCATTCTTTTTGATTTTCAGTTTTCCTTTCAAAATTGTGGGTGAAAGTGGCATATATTATTTAAAAAATACGCTCCCCACAGATTAAAAATTAAAATGCAGTAGGTTTGTAATTGAGCCAGAAGTAGCTTGCTTTCCCAGGTTAGCATTGTGCTGCAGTGCTTCTTAATTGGTTGTTTCATATGTCTTTTGGTTTTATAGGCTTATTTTTGGAGATTGCTGTATGTCAGAAATCACACTGGTTTTATTAGCAGACTAAATCTATAGAGAAAATAAATTGAGGATGAACTGATGACATCAAGCTAACCCAAAAGCTCTACTTATTTAAACCAGTGATAAATGGAGGATTACAAGATTATTTACCTACATAAGGAAATACTGCTTGTTTGAGTAGTTAGTTGTAAAAGTTATCCTCAGGGGTTCATTCAACCTACATTGGAAGATTTAGAAGATGTGAAAGTTATCCTTGAAATACTCTCAAATTCTAAGCACTTTCAGATTATTTATTTATTATTTTTTAAATAATGAGGGCGCCCATCTGGGAATTCTCTGAGTAGCGTAGGGAGTTCCTTAGCAGAGGCCACCTGCGGCAGACCAGGGCCCTGGGGAGGAGTCCTGTGGCAGATCCTTGTACAGTGGTGCCTGCTGGCAGAAAGTCACCTCGAGAGACTTCTTTGCTTCATAGATGCTGCCAGCATTACAGCCATCCGCATCACCTCCTTTATGGACTCCATCTTTTTTTTTTTTTTTTTTTAAGCCAGCTTGACCATCTGTGTGCCTTTTTTACCTGTCTTGGCTCCAGATGACTTCAAGCTGTTTTGCCAAAATTTAGATCCTCCTTCAAACGACTAGAATTTGTCACGATTTACGACTTTGAAAACAAACGTATTTAGAAAGAACAATGGTAAATGATGTATAACTTGGGAGACTGGTTTTCATTTGGATTTGTGGATTTTTCATATCACATTTGTTTATTTTTAAACACCTCTAAACTATCTTTTGTCACTATCTTTGTATCTTCCTTGCCAGTATCTGTGCGTTTTCTCAATGATTTGGTATTTGAGGATAAATATATGGCAACCTATGTGGACTGCTGATACATAGCCCAAGAGTAGTGATATATTTTTTCCACATTCGATTTTCATTTGGGGAGATCCTTAGAATTTTCAGGGCATAAAATTGCATTCCCTTAAAGGCATGTTAGTGTTAATACATAAACTCCAAAACAAAAGTGTTTCTTGGGCTAAACACTGATTCCCTGTTTGTGTTACTATACATTGCCTCTCAATAAGGGAGACTTATTTTTTCTTTAATGTCATCTAAGAAAATACCAGTTTTGTGGGATGGTTATGAAATGGATATCCTTGTAATTCTATGTCTTGGGCCAAATTCTTTGGAAACTCTTAATTAAAATTTAGCTTTTTAATTTCACTTGGAACTCTTTTATTTTTTTTAAGGGACAAGTTCCTCTTCTGTTGCTTGAAGCTTGATGGTTCATTTTGTAGGTTAGGGAGGAAAAAAGTCATCTAACATGGCATTCCATTGTTTGATCTAAAATGCTATTTTATTGCTGTGTTTCCAGGATTTTCAAAAGTCAGTGAAAGCTTACCCCCTGTAATCACCTTATTAAACAGAAAAGTACAGTCTTTACTTGTGGTGTAAACTAGCTGTAAAAGGGCTGTTAAAAAGCTAATAATTTTTTGGTAATTGAATGCATGTGACATAGAAATGATGGAATGCTATTTTGATAATAACAAATCTCGAGTTCTTTATCCAACAAATGTCTAAAATAAGTGAATATTTTGTATTGGCTTAGCAGGCATTTATAAAATGGCTCAATTAGTGATGTAGCTTTAACAGAAGTATTTTTCCTCCAATTTTATCAATCTTTAGTTTTTGTTGCTGTTTCTAAAGATTATTTATTTGTTTAAAAGGCAGAAAAACAGAGATTGAGGGGGAGAGGTCTTCCATCCACTGGTTTACTCCCCAGATGACCTTAAGAGCTAGGTTGGACCAGGCTGAAACCAGGAGCCAGGAACTCCATCTGGGTCTCTCACATTGGTGGCAAGAACTCAAGTACCGGAACCATTTATATTGTTGTTGTTGCTGTTGCTGCTGCTGTTTTCCAGGCACATTAGCAGGGATCTGGATTGGAAGTGGAGTAGCTAGGACTTCAACTTATACTCCGGTGTGGGATGCAAGCATCCTAAGCAGCAGTTTAACCTACACTGTAAAGCCTGCCCCGGTTTTGTTTTTTATACTGTCTGCATTTGTGTGAATTCAGTGTGTCATAAAATGATTAATGCTTCTCTTTTAGAATGATCACGGACCGGGGGCCAAAGAACAAGATGCACTAGTGGACAGATTGCTGACCGGGAGCTTGAGAGCTGGTTTCTGTTTTCCCTCCTCCAACTGACTTTGCAGCCACGGAGAGGTAAATGCTATTTGCATTTCTTGCTGTTAAAAATGGGAGTAGTATGACTCCTGCAGTATAGGGGATCCAAGACATCAGGTTATTGCAAGCATACAAGGTTTACTTCTGTAGTCAGAAATCTTAGTTTGAATCGCTGCCACATACTAGCTGGGTGACACCAGGCGAGTTACTTAACCTGTCCACTCCTACAGTCCTCATTTGTGAGATAATGATGCCAATCTCAGAGGCTATTCTTGGGGTTAATGAGCATGTTTGTAAAGTATTAAGTACCATTCTGTGC